GCGTTGTCTTCGCTCGAGAGACGAAACTCAATCTGTTTATTCGAAAACAGAACAAAGAAGAATGTAGAAGAACGATAAGAGAAAACAGATGGCGAATGATGTGAAGGTATGTGATGAACATGCCTGTAACATACCTCCCCACCAACGAAAAATGTGTCCACACATTTAGAAATAACGACGCGTAAAAAAAACAAGATAGAGAAGTTTCGAAGAAATGAAGAAAGCATGCTTCTGCGGAAAAAAAAAACAAAAAAAATTAAAAATGTGAAAATGAATGCATGAACGTAATGAAATGTGTTCAAAATTTGAGAACTGGAAGCTGTGATGGATAGACGGTGGAATGTGGATATGCAGGTTGTGCATATACGGAGGTTGATGATGTTGAAGGAAGATTAGTCTGATGTTGAAGAAGTCCCAGTAAAGGTGGTATAATCGGATGTAAATGCGACAAACCGGAATGTTCGATTGCAGCTAGAGTTGGCGACTGTGTTTGTTGAACATGACGACGAACGCGCCGACATAAATAAACGATTGTAAGAAAAACCAATAATAGTATAAGACCGAAACCAATAGCGATAGCTAAAAATATAATACGCATCCAGTCGGTTTCATTACGATGAGTCGAATGAGACTGTTCCAGAACATTGATACGATTGTGAACTTCCGAGTTCAAAAATCGCCGTAAACGAGGATCGAAGGCAATTGAAAAATGAAACGAAAGTAAAAGAATAAAAATAGCGAACATGATATAAGTTGCGGAATAATCAAAATGAAATGAGAAACGAATATGTGTATATAACGAAGACGAATCGATAATAGAATTCCGACGAAAGAATTTAGTAGAAAGAGAGAAAAAAAAATGCCAATTAAGTAGATGTGTGACGTGAAATTAATGGAATAATAGAATCGACAGTAACTTGTTGTGTTAAATGATGTAGATGAACGTGTTGCACAATATATGTTTTATTCGTAAGACGTTGAATAATACGATATGGACCTTCATGACGAACATCGAATTTGCGACGAGATTTAGATGTCTTGATGAGCACCAAATCATTAATGGCGTACGAAGGATTTGAACGATTAGCATCGAATCGAGTTTTGTATGTTTGTTGAATGGATCGAAGATTATGTTGAGCATTAGTGGTGAGAGATGAGACGTGTTCGCGCAGTTTGGTAGAATATTGAGGATCGATTTGTAGTGAAACCATAGGATCTTGCATGTCACAAGGAAGTATCGGTGAACGACCATACATGAGTTCAAATGGGATGGTGTTTGTAGTGGAATGAGAACTGGTGTTATAATTGAAAATAACATATGGTAATTGATCGTCCCAGTCAGAACGAGAAGAGTTGGACAACGAAGCAATTTTTGAATCCATCGTGCTGTTGAAACGTTCGATCTGACCATTCGTTTGTGGATGGTACGGTGTGGAATACATATGAACGATCCCAAGACGTTTGAAAAGTTCGTTTAACATGTTAGAAGTAAAATGAGTGCCATTGTCAGTTAGAATACATTTTGGTGTGCCGTATTTGCAAATTACTTCTTCTTGAATAAAACGAGCGGCGGTAGTAGCAGTACAATCGCGAACAGCTTTGGCAATAACAAATTTCGACAAAATATCAGTTAAAGAGATAATGTATTTGTTACCACGCTGACTCGTAGGAAAGATAGGCCCGTGGAAATCCATGGCCAGCAATTGCCAAACACCATCTGGAGGTTCAATAGATTGCAGATGACCAGGTGGTTTGCGACGAACAGGGTTATTTTGCGTACAACGAAAACATGATTGAATATAATTAGTAATGTCAGAGCGCATTGTATCCCAATAGTAACGAGCTTGAACCTTTTGAAGAGTTTTATCGCGACCAAAATGAGCACCATTAGCTGGTGTATCATGGTAAATCTTCATGATATCCTGGCGGATTGGACCAGCTGGAACATAAGGTACAGGCTTGTAACGAGAAGTTTTATGTAGCAGAAGACCATTCGAAATGAGATACGAAGTGTTATATGGTGAAGTATGGATGTTATGTATGATGTGTTGAACAGTTGGATCGATTTGTTGAGCTGCTTGTAAGACTGAAAGATCACCAGTAAAACGAATTTCAAGATCATCGACTGATGGACAATGTGTTGAACGAGGTGAAGCGCTAGAAGAATTGTTCGTAGAAGTGGTAATAGTAGCATGATCCGGCAGGGCAGTTTGTTTTGTACGAGATCGAGTAGTGACCATGTTAATACTGGGTGTCACAAGAAAATCATCAGTAGTTTGAGTGGCTGTAGAAACGAAAGTAGTTGGAAGATCAGAATCGAGATCAGCTACGACTGAATGTACCGGTGAGCGAGATAAAAAATCAGCCATGGCGTTGGTGGTGCCAGAAATGTGACGAATAGTGAAGTCATAGGATTGTAGCTTTAAACGCCAGCGTTCACATTTATCATTGAGTTGGGATTTGATGGTGAATGATTCCAATGGCTTATGATCCGACTCAACGGTAAAATGACGTCCGTGTAGGTAATGACGCCATTGTTCGATAGCTACCACGATAGCATAACATTCTTGTTCGATAACAGGCCATCGTTGTTGAGTAGGTGAAAATTTCTTTGACAAATAACACACTGGGCGATCACCTTCAGGAGATGTTTGTAACAAAACAGCACCAATACCAACTTTCGAAGCATCCGTTTGAATTTTGAATGGTAAATCATAGTTTGGAAGGTGTAAAACCAAATCAGTAGAAAGTATGTGTTTCAGTTGATCATATGCAGCGCGTTCATGTGAAGATAAAGTCCATGATGAAGTAGCTGGAATAGTATCAGGATTCCGTGATGATGGTGTATATTTGTATAAAGGTGCGGCAATTCGAGAAAAATTCGGAATAAATTTCCGAAAATACTCAGCTGCTTTAACGAATCGAAAAGTTTCTTGTGGTGTAGTCGGTATCGGAGAGTCAAGCAAATCACGAACATTATCAGTGCTTGGACGAATGTGACCATGATGAATATGATGACCCAGGTAATTGATGTGTTCAGCAGCAATTGTACATTTTTCAACACTTAAACGAAAATTAAACGAATGAAGTAAATCAAAGACTTCGTTGAGATGTAAAAGATGATCATCGAGCGTTTGTGAGAAAATTAAAATATCATCAATATAAGCTAAACAATATTTCCGACGATCTGGACCTAAAACTTCATTGATGATACGTTGAAACGTTGGGGGACCATTTTTTACACCTTGTGGAAGAACAGTGAATTGATAATGGTTGTCACGTGTGGAAAAAGCAGTTTTTGGACGATCAGCTGGTGCAAGTGGGATTTGAAAGTATCCACTTTTGAAATCAAGTTTGGTAAAGTAAGTAGCTTGAGATACTTGATCGAAAATATCGTCGATACGCGGCAGTGGAAAAGAATCTTTGACGGTAATAGCATTGAGCTTTCGGTAATCGACACAAAAGCGGGTTCCACCATCCTTCTTTTTTACGAGAACAACAGGAGAACACCATGGTGATTTAGAGTGTTCAATGATGTTCTGACTATATAGATTTGCTGTTTGTTCGTTGAGTATTTCATGATCCTTCGGCGAACGACGATATGGAGTAGTATACACAGGACGATGAGAGCCAGTGTCGATGGCATTCTCAAGCATAAAATTAATTTTTGACGGATAACGAACATCAAAGAGTTTACCGTATTTCCAAAGAATGTTCTGAATGTGAGTGCGATACGTAGAATCAGTAATATGTGATGTTAGAGTATCGATACGATGGCAGAGATCGACGGGAAAACAACGTTCACGTAGATGATGATGAAGATCATTGTTGGTGAGAAAAACGTCCTGACAAACATAACAAGTATATTTTTCAGATGAACTAGGATCTGAGACATCCGAAAAAGAATGGTAATCAGAAGTATTGGATGATGACATGGTGCAAATGATTGACGAGATCGATACAGTTCCAAGACAAGTATTTTGCGGTATAGTATATGAATGATCGGTATGATTAGTAATCGACACAATGGAAAGATGATTTCGAACATTGATTAACGAATCCGGAATGAAAATAGGTTCCATTGTGAATTTTGAAGACGGTTCAAAAATAACGGTTGTATTATCGAGCGACGGAATTTTGACGGAAACGGTAGACGTAGAATATTTCGGAATTGTAATAGAATGAACAAGTGATACGGATGAAGTTGTTGATGAATCGAAATGACGAAGAAGTGAAGTAGTTGTAAATTGATCCTGTGCATCATGTATAGTTAGAGTTTGATTAGCAATATCGAGAGATTGTACATAAATATTAATCCAATCAGTGCCAAGTAACAAATCAGTGACAAGACAAGTAGCAACAGCAGCAGTGATGGTGGTAACGATGTTGTTAATTTGTATATTAAGATCGACTTCACCAATAATAACAAGCGACGTACAATTTGCAGAAGAATAAGACGATGAAATAGATCGAAAGCTAGCGTGCGGAATTTGTTTTAAGAAACGATGATTTATAATAGTAGTGCCCGAGCCAGTATCCAAAACGATGTGACGGTAAACATTGTTAACTTGAGCACGAATAAAAATTGGGTTATTGGAAAGAATAGATGATGGCATTGAATAACTGGGAACTCCGCCATCTGGAGTCCCAGTTATTGGAAAACCTGAGGACATTTGTGAACGACATGATCCGAAGCACCACATTTGTAACAACCAGATGAATGTTTATAATAGCAATTGATAGTGCGATGATTCGAACGATTGCAAATTAGGCAAGGACTAAATTGATTCTGTGAAAAACCGGAACGAGATGAAGACGAGGTAGATGGATTGATAGGGTGTGTTGAATAAGACGACTGACTATTGGAATATGAATGACGAGGAGAATAGTTCGGTCGGAGAGTAGAAGTGTTAGTAGCTGCTGTAAAATGAGGAAAGTAAGGTTGAGCAGCAGTAATAGTAGATGCTTCGGAAGGTAAAAGTTCTTGTTGTAATTCTTCTTCATCGCGTGCGATTGTTAAAAATTGAGCTGGTGATGGAGTATCNAAAATGCCAATTAAGTAGATGTGTGACGTGAAATTAATGGAATAATAGAATCGACAGTAACTTGTTGTGTTAAATGATGTAGATGAACGTGTTGCACAATATATGTTTTATTCGTAAGACGTTGAATAATACGATATGGACCTTCATGACGGACATCAAATTTGCGACGAGGTTTAGATGTCTTGATGAGCACCAAATCATTAATGGCGTACGAAGGATTTGAACGATGAGCATCAAATCGAGTTTTGTATGTTTGTTGAATGGATCGAAGATTTTGTTGAGCATTAGTGGTGAGAGATGAGATATGTTCGCGCAGTTTGGTAGAATATTGAGGATCGATTTGTAGTGAAACCATAGGATCTTGCATGTCACAAGGAAGTATTGGTGAACGACCATACATGAGTTCGAATGGGATGGTGTTTGTGGTGGAATGAGAACTGGTGTTATAATTGAAAATAACATATGGTAACTGATTGTCCCAGTCGGAACGAGAAGAATTGGATAACGAAGCAATTTTTGAATCCATCGTGCTGTTGAAACGTTCGATCTGACCATTCGTTTGTGGATGATACGGTGTGGAATACATATGAACGATCCCAAGACGTTTGAAGAGTTCATTTAACATGTTAGAAGTAAAATGAGTGCCGTTGTCAGTTAGAATACATTTTGGTGTGCCGTATTTGCAAATTACTTCTTGAATAAAACGAGCGGCGATAGTAGCAGTACAATCTCGAACAGCTTTGGCGATAACAAATTTCGATAAAATATCGGTTAAAGAGATAATGTATTTGTTGCCACGCTGGCTCGTAGGAAAGATAGGCACGTGGAAATCCATGGCCAGCAATTGCCAAACACCGTCTGGAGGTTCAATAGATTGAAGATGACCAGGTGGTTTGCGACGAACAGGGTTATTTTGTGTACAACGAAAACACGATTGAATATAATTAGTAATGTCAGAGCGCATTGTATCCCAATAGTAACGAGCTTGAATCTTTTGCACAGTTTTATGGGGACCAACATGGTAAATCTTCATGATATCCTGGCGGATTGGATTAACTGGAACATAAGGCACAGGCTTGGGACGCGAAGTTTGATGTAGCAGAAGACCATTCGAAATGAGATACGAAGTGTTATATGGTGAAGTATGAATGTTATGGATGATGCGTTGAACAGTCGGATCGAGTTCTTAAGCTGCTTTTAAGATTGAAAGATCACTAGTAAAACGAATCGCAAGATCATCGACTGATGGACAATGTGTTGAACGAAGTGCAGCGCTAGAAGAATTGTCCGTAGAGGTGGCAATAGTGGCGTGATTCGGTAGAACAGTTTGTTTTGTACGAGACCGAGTAGCGACTATGTTAATAATGGGTGTCACAAGAAAGTCATCAGTAGTTTGAATGACTGTAGAAACGAAAGTAGACGGAAGATCAGAATCGAGATCAGCTACGATTGAATGTACCGGTGAACGAGATAAAAAAATCAGCCATGGCATTGGTGGTGCCAGAAATGTGTCGAATAGTGAAGTCATAGGATTGTAGTTTGAGACGCCAGCGTTCACATTTATCATTTAGTTGGGATTTGATAGTGAAGGATTCCAATGGCTTATGATCCGACTCGACGGTAAAATGACGTCCGTGTAGGTAATGACGCCATTGTTCGACAGCTACCACGATAGCATAACATTCTTGTTCGATAACAGGCCACTGTTGTTGAGTAGGTGAAAACTTTGTTGACAAATAACACACTGGACGATCACCTTCAGGAGATGTTTGTAGCAAAACAGCACCAACACCAACTTTCGAAGCATCCGTTTGAATTTTAAATGGTAAATCATAGTTTGGAAGGTGTAAAACCAAATCAGTAGAAAGAATGTGCTTCAGTTGATCATATGCAGCGCGTTCAATTGGAGATAAAGTCCACGATGAAGTAGCTGGAATAGTATCAGGATTCCGTGATGATGGTGTATATTTGTACAAAGGTGCGGCAATTCGAGAAAAATTTGTAATAAATTTTCGAAAATACTCAGCTGCTTTAACGAATCGAAAAGTTGCTTGTGGCGTAGTCGGTATTGGCGAGTCAAGCAAGTCATGAACATTATCAGTGCTTGGACGAATGTGACCACGATGAATATGATGGCCCAGGTAAGTGATGCGTTCAGAAGCAATTGTACATTTTTCAACACTTCAACGAAAATTGAACGAATGAAGCAAATCGAAGACTTCGTTCAGATGTAAAAGATGATCATCGAGCGTTTGTGAAAAAATCAGAATATCATCAATGTAAGCTAAACAATATTTTCGACGATCTGGACCTAAAACTTCATTGATGATACGTTGAAACGTTGGGAGACCATTTTTAACACCTTGCGGAAGAACAGTGAATTGATAATGGTTATCACGCGTGGAAAAAGCAGTTTTTGGACGATCGTCTGGTGCAAGTGAGATTTGAAAGTATCCGCTTTTGAAATCGAGTTTGGTAAAGTAAGTAGTTCGAGATACTTGATCGAAAATATCGTCGATACGCGGCAGTGAAAAAGAATCTTTGACGATAATAGCATTTAGCTTCCGATAATCGACACAACAGCGGGTTTCACCGTCCTTCTTTTTAACGAGAACAACAGGAGAGCACCATGGTGATGTAGAGTGTTCAATGATGTTCTGACTGTATAGATATGCTGTTTGATCGTTGAGTATTTCATGATCTTTTGGCGAACGACGATATGGAGTAGTATACACAGGACGATGAAAACCAGTATCGATGGCATTTTCAAGTATAAAATTAATTTTTGACGGATAACGAACGTCAAAGCTTTTACCGTATTTCCAAATACTGTTCTGAATGTGAGTGCGATACGTAGAATCAGTAATATGTGATGGTAGAGGTCGATGAGAAAACAGCGTTCACGTAGATGCTGATGAAGATCGTTGTTGGTGAGAAAAACGTCCTGACAAACAACAACAAGTATATTTTACAGATGAACTAGAATCTGAAACATCCGACAAGAAATGGTAAGCAGAAGTATTGGAAGATGACACGGTGCAAATGATTGACGCGATCGGTACAGTTCCAAGACAAGTATTTTGCGGTATAGTATATGAATGATCGGTATGATTAGTAATCGACACAACGGAAAGATGATTCCGAACATTGATTAACGAATCCGGAATAAAAATAGGTGCCATTGTGAATTTTGAAGACGGTTCAAAAATAACGGTTGTATTATCGAGCGACGGAATTTTGACGGAAACGATAGATGTAGAATATTTCGAAATTGTAATAGAATGAACAAGTGATACGGATGAAGTTGTTGATGAATCGAAATGACGAAGAAGTGAAGTAGTTGTAAATTGATCGTGTGCATCATGTATAGTTAGAGTTTGATTAGCAATATCGAGAGATTGTACATAGATATTAATCCAATCAGTGCCAAGTAACAAATCAGTGACAAGACAAGTAGCAACAGCAGCAGTGATGGTGGTAACGATGTTGTTAATTTGTATATTAAGATCGACTTCACCGATAATAACAAGCGACGTACAATTTGCAGAAGAATAAGACGATGAAATAGATCGAAAGCTAGTGTGCGGAATTTGTTTTAAGAAACGATGATTTATAATAGTGGTACCCGAGCCAGTATCCAAAACGATGTGACGGTAAACGTTGTTGACTTGAGCACGAATAAAAATTGGATTATTGGAAAGAATAGATGATGGCATTGAATAACTGGGAACTCCGCCATCTGGAGTCCCAGTTATTGGAAAACCTGAGGGCATTTGTGAACGACATGATCCGAAGCCCCACATTTGTAACAACCAGATGAGTGTTTATAATAACAATTGATAGTGCGATGATTCGAACGATTGCAAATTAGGCAAGGACTAAATTGATTCTGTGCAAAGCCGGAACGAGATGAAGACGAGGTGATGGATTGATAGGGTGTGTTGAATAAGACGATTGACTATTGGAAGATGAATGACGAGGAGAATAGTTCGGTCGGAGAGTAGAAGTGTTAGTAGCTGCTGTAAAATGAGGAAAGTAAGGTTGAGCAGCAGTAATAGTAGATGCTTCGGAAGGTAAAAGTTCTTGTTGTAATTCTTCTTCGTCGCGTGCGATTGTTAAAAATTGAGCTGGTGATGGAGTATCAGGAAGTGTTTTCATTCGACGTTTTATGTGAATTTTGAGTGCATCGCGCTCACCATCTTGTAAATAATCGACAATCATATGAAGCGGCATGTCAGAATCGACCTGTTTGCATAAATCAATGACATCGTCGTAGTATGCTAATAATGATTCACCCGGTTGTTGACGACGATCTTTCAATTGTGTTTTTGCAGCAGACAAAGACGGTTTAAAACGTGCTAATAGATTAGTTTTTAATAGAGACCACGAATCTAATGAGTCACGATTATTGTCATACCAGTTGAAAGCTGGATCGCCTAATTCGAGAGTAGCGATCGAATGAAGCATGGCATCACTCAATGGGCTGAAAGAGCGTAACCGAATGACTGTCATTGTTATTATCAGGCGTTTTCCGACGATGACGAGAAGGACCGTAAGTGATAATTTCGTGTGGTATTAGAGTTGCCGATGTGGGATTGCTACGTAAATGACGCGTTGATGGAAATTGAGCCGTGGGTGAGGGTGTGGAACCAGTAAAGTAAATAAACAAGCGCAGATAGATAAAGAGTAACGAGTGATCGGTAGACGTGAGTATAAAGAGAATTGAATATTCAACGAATTGAACGGACGAATAGAGAAAGAGAGGGAAAAGAAAGCAATAAAGCCGGTCACGGCACCAATATTAGCGTTGCCTTTCGCTCGAGACGAAACTTAATCTATTTTATTCGAAAACAGAACAAAGAAGAATGTAGAAGAATAATAAGAGAAAACAGATAGAGAATGATGTGAAAGTATGTTGTGAACATGTCTGTAACAATCAGTCAATACAGAATGATTAGTAGTACAAGAAAACTTTCAAAGAAATGAACAAACAATAATTGGTTCAACTATTAATCAAGCAACTTTTCTTTCTGTCAAATCAGTTCAGCATAAAATAACAAAAAAGAAGAAATGCAATAGGAATTAAACAAGCCAGTTTTATCAATAAAAATAATATTTATCAAGTGGATCAATTTGAATCTATAAGAAATGATTCAGCGGGTTATACTATTATATCTAATGAGATATTACATCAAAGAACAGCTCCGGCTTTCAATCTTTCACAAAAGTAGAATGATTTCTTTAGTGTAGATAAAAAGATTCAAATTATTCGTCAATATATTAGTTTAACTGATCAAGTTTGTTTTCAACAACTCAAACAAATTCAATGGAAATATTATCTTTATATTGGTTTGACACAGGGCATTTGGCACGGCCGTACGTATGTCTAAACCATCTGCTGAAAAGTATTCAATATGCCATACATATGAGAGATCGAAATCTGTGATTGAAGAACGTATCAGAGTAATCGAAAAACATTTAAAACACGCACAAAATGCCATTGCACAGTTTGAACGAAAGATCTCATCAGAATGTGAACAGGATCATGATTGTTTAAGTGTATTGAAAGAATTAAACACAATTATTTATCGATTAGTACAAGAAAAGCAACAAGTTATAAAAGATAAATTCAAATATCAAAGACAAATATTCCTTTTGAATGCAACTGACCATCTATTACTTCAAAATTTCATTGATATTGAACCAAACAGTGGACATGTGAGCATATCAACTATAATATTTCGTTTGATAAAATCATATATCCATCGTTTGAATTTGTTACTGATCACATGGGCAAGACATGTATGGAAAGCAACAAAAGATCAACTGATAATAGAAGAAGATATTGCTTTGTTACAACATCGTCTTCTATCTACAACATTAAACTCAACATCTAATTTAGTTCGTAAAATCATAAATAACATTGTTACAGATATTCAAAAACTAAATGATCCCTTGACAGAATCAACAACAACTAACACTTCTTCGAAAACAGCTGAAACACTATCAGCTTGGAGAAAAGATATTATTCAAGAAGCTATTTTTATCCATCAGAAAGGACTGGAACAAATCAAAACAACTATACAAACAGAACACGAGAAGTTTTACATTCAAAACCGATATAAGGAAACCACGTGTCAATACCAGAAACGTGTGTATGAAGCTATCGAAAACCGTTCACAGCATATGATAAAACGTGCCAATTGTATGAAACAATATCATCTATCAACATCTTTTAATCCAACAGATCATCAACCATAAGCAAACGATTCGTAGAAATAACTTCAACTGATAATACAAACAAATTTTCTTCCAAATACAACTTATTTTGTTACATCCATGCAAAACTTTCTACCATTTCCAATACTTAGCTAAGACAAGCATAACGTATAATAAAATTCTTCTTTTCTTCTAGATTTCTTACCCACAAAATCCAAATACAATTGAACACATCGAACTGTTTATTACTCAAACGAATTCCACCAAGTTCCAATGGCAACATACATCAACACACGAATCTTCCAATCTATCATACACTCAGATCCTCAACAATTACTCATCACAACATCTCTACCTTCAACAACAAACACATTTCATCTGATATTTACATTCAAACAAGCTATACAGTAAGCGACTACTCTTTTGAAGATTTTTCAGTCATTTCAATTGATTTCGATTTAATCCTATTATTTTAATGTTTTTCACATTGAAATAATGTTTTTTGATCTTATTTAAGTTTATACCATTTGAGAATGAACTCTAACAGGTTCAAAATCGATTATGGTAGTTATATATCTCACCCACACCCTCACCCTCAAGATAATTCTCGGGCTGGGCCAGTGCTCCTTTTCAAAAGAAAAGGTCATGTATCATCTTTTGAAAAAAGTCAATACGCACAAGGGGTAACTGTATACTTCACACCAAAAGGTGTAATAAACGGTGCAACTATGAAACGGTATCTGGACTTTTGGTATTCTAAAGTAGGATTGTTTTCAGAGTTTTATGAAATGAAATCGATTTTTTCATGTTTTCTAGGTGAAGGATAATCATCCTAAATTGTTAACCACCGACAGTTGCACATCTCATCTTGGAAATCATCTAATCAACGGTCTGAAGAAAAAATGAGTAGTAGTAGCTGTCGTATCTGGTGGTTGCACGATGTAATTATGTTCAAGTACTTGATGTGTCAATTTTTTCGGTCTTCAAGAATAACTATAATAATATTGTCGAAGATTACATTGAAAAGCATGGACCAAGATCTCATATAAAACTTACAGCGTCACAAGCACGCGTTTTATGCACTAATCTCACATGGGCTGCATGGGAACGTACATTAGCAAATGTTGACATAGCCAAAGCTTTTCGTGATATTGGATAAACATGGACGGATGATTCACCAATTTCACTTCGTTCAATGCCAGGTTACACATTCGATCCAACATCAAATGAACATTTATCGTCCATAGATGGCGATGATCATATTGACAAAGTTGCTGAAGAAATCTCGCAACAACAACAACAACAGTGTTACAGTAAAAACAAATCAATTGAAGGTTTCTAGTACGTGAAAGCAGAAGTAGTTTGTTTTATATTTACATATTTTTACAATTTTGTGATTGTTTGATGATATTCAATAAATTGATGAAATTTTGAACTATTTAATGATTTTTTGCAGCAAATGTCGCTTTAGAAGATTCCCCTCATTAGAAGACCTCTTAACCTATATTACACGTGAAGACATGTTAGAAGACCCCGGGTCTTTTAATCTGGGGGGAGTTTACTGTATAACACTTATTTCGAATTTGTCGTTCTAATAGCGAATATTCGAGAATAATAGAAATATAAAGGATATATGAAAACAAAGAGTACAAATAACACATTGTCTTATGATCGCCTATACATACGTTCAACGATTTTATACGTACAATTTTTCTATCTTACCTATTTGACGTTCACTATACGATGTCTGATGCTGTTGATACCATGTCCTTTGTTTCTTCTAACCAAGGTTATCCTATGTTGGTAAAAGAAGGTTTCATTTATAAAAGCAACAAACAGACATTAACGAAGATTTATTGGATCTGCAAAATCAAAAACTGTAATGCAAATATTCATACTGATCTCAACCGTAATTTCATGCAATCAAATGGTAAACATAATCATCTTGTTGAACCAGAAGAAATCGAAATAAAACTTTTTCGAGAAGCTCTTAAAGTGCGTGTTATCAATGAAACAACACCGATTTCGAAGATATATGATGAAGAGATGGTTAAAGCTCATTTATCACCAGAAACTCTTGCAAATGTACCACTGGTTTCCAGTATAAGTAATATTTCATTGTGAGAATTTTACGTACTTTTTACTATGATTTTTTTAAAATAGATTCTGCATTGAATCGAACACGACGAAAACGTACACCAGTTCTTCCAACGTGTTGTTCATTTGATATTCCCGATTTATATTAATTCACGTNGATTTATATTAATCCACGTCTGCTGGAGAAAAGTTTTTATTTTGCGATGCCTTGGTTGGTCGCAAAAAAAGAATAATATCATTTGTTAGTCCAAAACAACTCGACGTATTATTTGATAGCTCGATTATTTTCACGGATGGTACGTTTTTAGCAACGCCGTCAATGTTTGATCAAGCTTTTACTATACATGGACTAAGATTTGGATGCAGTATGATAGATGTTCTTAGTATTTTAGAAAATAATTCTTTTTTATCACAGATCTTTCTTGTGTGTATGGTCTTTTACCAAATCGAAAAAAATCAACATACCAACAACTTTTTAAAGAATTAAAAAGTATTGCGGCATTGGAAAACAAATTATTTCTGCCTGAAAGAGTTGTTAGTGATTCTGAAATCGGTTTGATATCAGCTTTAGCCGCTGAAGTGAGTCATGATATTCACATAGTGCCAAGCTGTATTTGTTTTCTATTTTAGTTTCATTAAGCTATTCATCAAGGTTGTTATTTTCATTACAATCAGTGTATTAATCGACGTATTCAAAGTTTAGACTTAAGCACAACTTATGCTGAAGACGATGAAATCAGATCATGCTGTCGTAAATTAATGGCACTTTGTCTTTTGCCACTTCAAGAAGTTGAAAGTCAATTTTATAATTTATGAGCATCATTAGATTCACGACTAAAGCAGGAACTGTCAATTATTTTTATATTTTCAAAATCATTAGATGATTGATGTGCCACTCCAAATGTGGAATTTTCATGATACTCCACATCGTACGAACAATATTTGTGAGGGTATGTCATTCCATTCTCTTTGAGCATTCGAACATGTTCTGTTTGTTTAGCTTTTCACAGCCGATTGAATAGACGTATTGAACGTTCCCATTCAAATATATGGTCTTTCATCAATTGTCTTATCGGTGAAGAATGCCGGTTTCAACACTTATATAGTCAAATTAATGCTGGTACACAACAACTGCCAAAAGCAAAGGCAGCTGATACAATGCAAAAGCGAATCGAGACTTTAAATAGTCGATATAACAATCAGGATATCAATGGTCAACAATTGTTAAATGCCTTATCATTATTGGCCGGAAGGAAAAAGTAAAAATCGGTGTGAAATTTGTGATTTAGGACTGCACACGTTCTTTCATATTTTTTAAATTGACTATCGTCTTTAATAAAAATTTTAATACAGAATAAAATATTTACTGCAACAATAATACGTTTTTTTTAATTTTCTATAGAAGAATATTTTTCGATATTTCATTTTTCGACTTTTTTCCTTTTCGTCGTTTTTCACTATGCATCTTTCTGTAACTTCCTCTTTTTACTTCGATATTAATATTTCGACGTTTTGACTTTCGATCTTTTTCAATCATATCGTATTTTTTCTACCTATAAGTAAAGAGAAAAACGAACAGTAGTAACGTTATAAGCGACCTCTCATTTCATTGCATCTCATACCTGACTAAAACGAGAATAAACATGCATCCTATTTCGTTGCTTTCTCTCTTCACTGCTCATACCTTCGATGATAGATGTGTTCTTTCTACCTGCAGGTAAACAGAAAAACAAACATCAGTAACAATATTTCGCCATTGAATCTATTGACGTTACAGGTATGTTCTCATTTCGTTCTATTTTATTTCATATCATCTAATTTCATACCTGACTAAAATAATAATAAATATCTTTTCTATTTCGTTAATTTCTCCAATCAATACTCCTACCTTTAACGATAAAGGTGCTCTTTTTACCTATAGATAAAGATAAAAACAAACATCAGTAACAATATTTCGTCACTGAATCGATTCACGTTATAGGCATTCTCTCATTTCATTTCATGTCATTTCATTTCATATTAGATCCGACCAAAGTAAGAATAAAAATCAAGAGTAATATGCTGCGTTATTTTGTTTTGAGTACTTTTACCTTTAATGATGGGAGCATTCTTTCTTTCTGAAATTAAAGAGAAAAAGGAACATCAATTTCGTTTGTTGATAGTATAGTTATTTGTCTGATTCGGAACCTTGGCTTGTTGCGTAGGTAGGGTAGACGATGAAATGCTCATCTGAACGTCTGTGAACTGGGATCGATTTTGAGATTATGGGTTCGGAGGGAGGAAGCGTTAAAGTAGGTGGATATATACTTTGGCTAAGAAGTGAACAGACATGTTTAGACGAATAAAATATCAAGAATTACGAAGTTTGTTTCAGTAAAATCTCAGTTATAAGGACGAGTCTGTCCACAGTCCAACAGTGCGAATGACGTGGTCTTCATTCGTATATGATGAATAGGAACTGCTGCCATATGAAAGTTTTGTGTAAATAATCGAGATTGAATATATGCATCTACGCGTCTACGTTTTGAGAAACTGTTTTCTGTACTATCATAACATGCCGAGATTGTAATGACACGCTAGTAACCGATGAATAATGAGCAGTTCTCGCGGCCAATTATTTAGAGCTATCCATCGCATGCAATGAGAATTTAAACATGAACATATCCATGAACGACAGGATCCTATAATTCACGTTCGAGTCGCATAAATTCGTCCCGCATTGTAAAGTTGCCATGGGAAACATAAACGTTTCTTGATTTATTATGGAGTACAGAAAAAAATATCCGTCTGCGAAGGTGTAATAGATAACTATGTACCGTTTAAATATGAAAGGATTCTTGGAATTTGAAGAAGATATCTGAGTAGATTTTCTCCTCAACAGCTTATGATGCGTTATAGATAGAGGAATTGGAATATCATCTGGTAGTGAAAGAAAAACGTATGATTATATAAGAAGAAGATGAACTAACTGCCTGCTTAATTTATAAAACTCTACTTCGCTTGCATTTAGATTATATGTTTCAGTTTTTACTGGAGTTTTGTTAAAGTATTGTCCTCGTGTCATCTCTGCGTTTCAAAAATCTGCCGATGGACGCCAATCAGACGATAATGAGCAGAATCAGGTAAATACATCAACTATTTGTTTTGTAAACATCTTTCTAGTGCTACCCAATAAACAATTATTTTGCGAGCAGAATGAGATCTTTTTTAATACAAAACAAATCATAATCAACTGACAGAGGCTAAGGATTTTCAGATATGCTTGCACAATGTTAGAGCTGCTCTCTTTCGCGAGAGTGATGTTTATTCTCCCTGAAGAAAACACACACCAGAGTTATATAGCGAGAAAACGAGAGCGATAGAGAGAGAGACACGAGAACAAAGGAGGAGGCGCTAACACACAACTTCTGAGAAATACATAACATTCTCTGGTTGAGGATATTCTACAATTTTTGGATGCTCTTTACTTATACTAGGAGGAATGTATCGATCAATGGGATTTCGACCGAGTTCTTCGCAGATTTACTAAGTCTGCATCTACTGCAGACATTTCAAGCTTGATATGCATCTCTAATTGAAAGTATTCCTATATTTTTTCAGGAACTACTGGCCGTTCACACTATTGTGTTGCTTCCTTTGCATCCCTGGCCTCGTCGCAATAGTAGTGGTATTAAGTTTAATTCCAGTTTATTTGTCAACAGATGGTATTTCTGGCACCACTATCAATTCTTGTATGTGTTTATTCTTTTCCGTTAATTGATTTGATAGATTGCTTGTTTATTTTGAGTCCTATTACCGTACAATGTCACTTATGGTACTAATTTCAAAAGTGATAGTATGTCTGCGATTCCAAATCTTAACAGCCTGGCCACACAGGTTTGTGTTTCATATTCTCACAAAATATTTTTGTATTATTAAAGTTTACAGTTGATGAATCAATATTCAAATATTGAGATAAGTGTTATAACAACAGTGTTCATTGCGACAGAGTCGAATGCCTCTAGTAAACGACGACGTGAAACTCGGTATGTTAGATTGATCTGAAGACAACAATCTCATTTGCTTTATAGATCCACGAACGAACAATGTGAAGTAAATCCAAACACAACGGGTGATTTGCTGTTTGTTGCATTTATCGTCAAGCCTCGATTTTCGTGCCTTCTCAACAGCTGCCGAAAGAACTTCAACGAAACATTCGAAAAAGTCACTGCGATTATGCGTTCACAGACAGTAATACTACTAACTTTGGCTAATGGATCGACAATTATGACAGGGGCAGTTTTCTGTTCCACTGGACAGGTTAAGCCAGGTACGAAATCACTTTTTCTACACTTACTTTCTATCTTTAATATGATATTGACGTGACTATTTTTTGGCTTCCTGTTTTTGATTGCTCAGATGCATTTCATAAGTAATAGGTTGTATAACTGTTAGAGCATTGCATGCTTTTTCCACAAATGTTATAGTATGCTGGAATTTATAAGCTTGTCCTTTGTTTATGCTTTTATCACATATCTTATTTTAGTTGAAATAACGACTATAGTCTCTACAACTAAAGCTACAACCACAACGATAACCACAACGACAACCACAACGACAACCACAACGACAACCATAACGATAACCACAACGACAACCACAACGACAACCACAACGACAACCACAACGACAACCACAACGACAACCACAACGACAACCACAACGACAGGTATTTTGTTTGATTTTGGTTATATTTGAGTAGCAACAATAAATTTTGTTACAGTAAATTAATTACAACTAGTCAGGGAGGATAAGAAATCAGAAATAGATTCATCGCTAATAGGATTACAGTCACATTCAACCAGCCAGACAAATATCTGAGATAAGCTTATATCTGATTTGATTTCACAGTTATATGAAGCTTGATTTAGATGCCATTGAATTTTCGCCACCATTTCTTTACGACCAAGTGTACAGAACGTTTCAAAATGATAAAGCATATTTCTAACTCAAGCCTACAGAGTGATGTCATAATACTATTGTCCTGAGTATCTTTTTCAAAACACACCAGTATTTCGTCAAACGCTGGGGAATTTGAGTAAATTTGATCATTATCCAACGGGTTACGGCATACAGACAGACAGATGAATGCGTGGATGTATCATGAGGAAAGGTGAGCAATTTACACATTTAAAAAAAATAGGAGCTTTACGGAACCTGTATCGAGGGAAAGATCTTTTGAGGTTTCTTATGAATTAAAGGAACCAGAAGAGGTCGATAAAATGTTTGCCAAATTTTTTTGGTTCACCAAATCGGTATGAAACTCCAAAAGACTTTCCTCTCGATACACGCTCCATAAAACTCCTATTTTTTTTCACAATGCATGAACTCAATCATTATCGAACGGGCAACGACAGTGATGTCGAGGATAATTAACGTTATGTGAGTGAATTGTGTTTATCAATTAATTCTTTGGCATCTTTTTTAGTTAGAGTAGCACTACTATAAACAAATGATGTTTTATGAAGTTTTGAACATTTCCGAAAAAAATGTTTTTTTGGCCTTTGACTCTTGACCCTGACACGGAGAGACAGACAAACTAATTTTTTTCGTATGACCCTCCTTTCAGTCGAGAGAACTAGACGAAGAAACTTCCATGATGAAGCATCAATTCGAATTTGCTTATATGCAGAAAATACCATATATTGGTAAAATAAAAGGCGGGTCTAGATCTACTCGAGTTCGACTCTCAGAAAAGCTGGATTCACAGCTTCTCGCTGTCTGTGCTCCATCTTGTTCTCTCTATTTTTGTTCTTTTCTCTTTTCTACGTTTTGTCCTCGATACAAAACAATGTTCTATATTGTATAAGATACAGCTAAAGTGTAGTATAATGTAACAAACATTAACTTTCTGAAGAATAGTAAAAACACTATTCCTTAAGTTTGCCTTTGTGACCACAAAAAGCCCTGCAGCAGCGACGAAGAATAATGTTTTTTGTTGTCGTTTCTTTTCATTACAATTTCAATGACCCAGAGTCTCACGAAGTCAGTGTTTATTAAATCTACTTCGGTAGTATTCAACTCAGTTGTTTATTTTCAGCTATTAGTTCGTAAGATGTAAGCTTGAACACTCTGATGATTTAGGATCTTGTTTTCTGAAACGAGACGTTCTAGTAGTAAGTCTGTTCGTAGATTCATGTTGAGTATGGATTTTCACACGATGCACATAATCAAAACAGAAAAATAAAGATAGCCGTCTGTAGATCTTCAAGATGAGACACTTCGAAGAATTCAGTTAAGTAGATTTTCCAGGATAATCTGAACGTCACAAGGATTCTCTTCTCCAAGATAAGGATGTATGTCTTATATTATGGTCAGTGATTGCCTGCTTTCATAAATCATATCGATCTTGAAAGTAATTATTACTATATGAAATAAATGTTCATGGAATCAATGCCCACTTAAAAGACAGAAAGCACCCATCTTACCTTATAAATATACTCTTATGAGTCAATGCACGAAAGCCAACATATGTCGTGCTCTGTCGATATCACAAATTTCACTGAAATTTTCCCAGTATGTAGGGTGAGGGTGGAGGTGATGGTGACAACTATTGAGGATTTGAAGGCTCCCGCTATATCTGTATCTAGTTGTTACCAATTTCGCGAGTCTTCTCGTTCAATTCGCAGGCTGTCATGCGATTCAGGCTAGTTGCACAACAGCTACTGAGTGTTGTGGAAATGCTGCTGGATCAACCTGTCTAAGTGCCACTTGCTGCATACAAGACGGTAGTCCATGTACAAGTGCTTCAGACTGTTGTAGCGGAACTTGCGGCACTGGAAATTGCATTCCGTGTTTCCATGGTGATGAATATGTCTTAATGGCCGATGGGAGAGAAAAACAAATAAAACACGTCCGAATGGGTGATCGAGTGAAGACAATTGTTGATGACAGTCAGTCAAAAGTTTATAAATTGGGCGAAGATGAAGTGCTTGTGCGTCTTCACCATGAACCAAATATGACAGGTATGATTAATTTGCATATTTTTGAATGTAACGATACTACAAGCAAGTATTCTTTGTAGTTCGTGATATCTAAAGTAGTATGATAAAGAAATGAATTTGTGTTCACTTACAGTGCATACCGACATTTTCTAATCACAACACAGAAATCGTACTTCTCTTTCATTTATGTTAACCCTTTCAGACCCAAAAATTAGCTTTTTCGTAGTTGAAGTATGACGATGCTGTTCCGATCATTTTGTTTTCGTCGGGCTTTGGATATGGTCGCTCTCCGCATAATAAAGAAGCAAAACTATGGAATGCTAGGGAAATGTTTTGCTACGATGAAAGAGGGAAGATCTATTCACACATTTTCTTGTTAAGTTAACACGTTGACTGTCCGATGTAAGGAAAGTTAGCACCATATTCGTGTGTTTTTTTTTGTCCGGATTCGCCTGAAAACTTGTGTTGGCTTTAAGATAGATGGTGTTGAATTCAGACTTTAGTCCTCTATCGAGTGATATAGGTCTCGGTGGGTATCGCGGGAGACGATGATATGAGTGTTGGCGCAGGTGATGTTATTTTTCTTCCGGTAACTCCCTTTAGAAATTACATCATTCTATAGAGAATTAAGTTCTGAATTCAACACAACCATTTTTAGAGGCGATACAGGTTTTCAGACGAATCTGAACAAAAATTGCACGAATATCCTGCAAATGATTCTTACGTGACTACTCAATGCATCATATACGATGTTTGAATCCAGCATTTATTGAATGTAACTAAGTGATTTAAATTGAACTATTGTCACGTATCGGTAAGGCATAAACAAACATTCTAATTGTAGATTAAAACTTATTTGCATCGTTTTTGAACATCATATACGTCAAAAAATAGTATATTTCAAAATTATGGTGGAAAAAGTGGACGTAGAGAAATTACCACTTTCATTCATGTGGACAATCAACATGTTAAAGGATACTACCGCTTTCCTTCAGAAAATTCCTTATAAGGTTTTATCAATTTTAGCATAGAAATGAACAAATTAAACATGTGTTGTTTTGTTCTATGCCATAGTATTGAAACGGTTAACATAGATTTCAGACAACTTTCAATTTTGGAGAATATTTGAATAACTCGCTTTCAAATTGTACAGTTTCGTCTTTTTTTCTTCAATGTTTTCTTCGATACACTAGTAGTATTTAATAAGAAGATCTTGTCATCGTTATTGTACAATAATTGCCTGATACTAATGACAAACTATTGTTTTTACGTCACAAGAATGTTGTGTCGACTTTTCTGCTCCTTATAGTGATAGTAGACACATATTGTATGCTGGCGATGCTGTTCAACTATGTATATATAAGGGTAGTCTAATACTATAGTACTTGGGACTATCATTATGGTAAAAGACAACATTTTAAGCGTTGATTTTCGATCTGTCGAAATAGTTCTTGTAGTAATGAAGTACTAGCAAAAACCTGCAAATGAAATTAGGGAATATAGAATATTTCACTTGGGAGTTTTGACTAGTATGAACGATAGAAAATACAGTATACAGTCATAGCACTAACTCAAAATCATTCCTCTCAATCAAACATTAATAAGTTACATCACAAGACTTCTGTTTATTGATATATTCATTGTAAAATGTATTCATTATCAGATTTAGCCATACATGCAAAAGTCGAAAAGCTGTTTCGAGTATTAAACTTTCAAATTTCTATATCTTTCAGTTTAGAATTTGAGTTAGGCGTAAGGGTGAAAGTGAGCCTGTTGGAGGGTACAGAACAAAGGGTTCTATCAAGTCAGTCAACGTTGACAGTACCGTAACTGAGCCTAAATACATATTTTAATGTTTTAGACCGTATCAGTTGAGACAGAATTGAGTCTGATAGCTCATACTCTACCCACTTTCAATATGTAGTCTTCTGATATCGAAAGTGCCATTCTCATTACAGAACAGTATCTTTAGGATGTTGCACAGTTGCGACTAAAGTGAGGATGAAGAGAAAGATGTTCCAGTATACACTGCAAAGACAAACTATTGAAAACTCGAATTTTAAATTGAAAGGTTCATAAGTTTAATATTCGAATCGAGTTAACGATTTCTACACTACTCATTTTAGCTAACTTTTTGATAATTATAACCGAGTCTGGACATCGACTAACATTGAGTCCTGATCATTTTGTTCGTATATTCAATGGCAATGAGAGCAATAATGAACCCTATATCACAGCGGGTCAGCTCACCAATGGTCAGCTTGTTGCAGTAGTTATGGGCTTTCCAGATCATCAGAACTATTCGGTGATCTACTCGCCCATCGTTTCAATCACGCAATCCAAACTCGTTGGCGTTTACAATGTCTTAACGTACAGTGGTATCATTATTGTCAGTCGAGTGGTCGCTTCATGTTTTACTGATCGTCGTGGAACACATGAGAATGCGCAGAGACGTTACTTCATTGTTCGTCTCATGAAGCATGTAGCATCAATATTTCACTACAACATTTATACAGATGAGTTTTACGGAGAACATTATGTGGTTACGAGTCGTCTAATTGATTTCATACACATAATCATAACTGCCATTCTTCATTGTACCTCGGTTATGTACCGTACTGGTGTTCCATTAATGATCACCATTGTATTGGTTTGGCTGGCAAATCAAAGAATGTACCATTTTAATTTTGGATTCCTTCGTCGGTGGTTGAAATTCCGTGGTTGATATGGAATATTGTGGCATTAGGAGATAAACTTGCGTCATAAAGACTTACTTTCGATCGATATCATTTGATTGAATACAATGACTTTTGCCTTTTCTAGTGATATCTTTCAAGTACTCTATTTTACCCTTAATCAACATTCTTTTTGTGATTTTTCACATTGAGTGAAAAGAGTGAGTCCATTAATTTTAATCTAAATATTACATTTTTTCATCACAATCTTTCGTTTTTCATTTCCTAACTGGAATCCGCCGCATATGTTATAGTGCCCGTACAAGATATTTAAAAATTATCGAGCACGCTTTAGAATTTTGAACGCAATAGAACTTTCTTCAATTAAGTTATGTTTCATTGCCGATCTAATGCGTTACCTTATGGGCGCATGATAAACGCACATTATGTGAGTAACTGTCTAATTCGACTTATAATATAAATACACATAATTCTACCTGAATACACAAATAGATTTAGATTTAGGTATACCTGTAGATACGGTCTCGTCTTGCTGATCTAATGTGTTATAGTAGTTTATAGGAAGTGTAGGAGTTCTTGATGATTTCAATTGTGAAAACGTTAGCTGAAGTTCATGCTATACCTAGTTTGCTTGATAGAAATGGGAAAGTTCTAGAATATATGTATTATGAAACTGAACTGTGAAGTTCATTATATGCGTGGGACTTTCAGTCAAGATATATTCTCATCGCCTCCCGTGCACCCTCAATATCTAAGCTATTAGTTATCCTAGAAAAATGATGCCTGTTCAAGTTTATATGGGTGGCTATATGTATATGTATAGCTATCTAAAACTAAATTTCTATGTATATTTTATTGGTTGAATAAATATATATTTATTTTATAAGTGATATATGACTACTGAGGATGCATTTATATTATAAGTCGAATTCGACAACTTGTGTATGCTGCAGATCACTGACCATGAGATATTTGTTGAAACTAATAACGGCTCAAGAACTAATTTTTATAGGGGAAATATAAATCATTGAAAACTATAACAAATATGACTTTTCATGGTTTACTTTTCCACTAACTGATGTGAATAAAAAAATTGAGCGGATATTGTCAGAAAATAGCTTTCACTGGTCCGTTCTAATGCAAAGCTTCTGTCATAAGTTTCATCTGTAGTAAGACAAAAGGTAACATGTTACTCTGTCTCAAAATAAACACAATTCTTCCACGATGACATAAAATTCAATACAATTGTAAGCCGTTTGCTATAGTTTTCATTCATCGACTGTACTTCGGATGAAATAGAAGTTTTAGTTTATGGTGATCTCTTATCTGCCACAAATCAATTTTTTAAATACATTTCGTATCATTCTATTTTCAGTCGAAGGGATGAAAGGAGAACTAAACATTTCAATAATCACTTGTCTATTTTCTGGTCGTATCATTGAGCAATTAACTCGATTCATTTTCCAGTACAATTTATTGGTCATACTCTTTTTGTTTCAGAAAATAGATTAGCTATGTTAGCGAAACGACTTAGACATAAGATTAAGTATGGAATAGTATTAATATGTGCAATTATCACCATTCTGAACTATCACTTCGCACCCACGGAGAGACTTGTGGAAAAGACCAACTCAACTGCAGTCATCATGATTCTGTACAATCGGATACCCAAATGTGGCAGTTCGCTCTTAAATGTTCTTTTCGAACAGTTATCAAGCAGAACAGGTGCATTCATACACATATTTGGACATTCAGAATCTCTTTATCACCGTTTGTCCATCGAAGAACAACATAATTTGACTAGAGACATCCGTCATCATGTATATGTTCACAGTCCTCGTCCGACTGTGTTCCTACAACATTTTCACTTCCTTCATGTTGCGTCTACATCAAATGCTACTTTTTATTATATAAACCAGTATCGTGATCCACTAGCACGTACTTTATCTAGTTTCGACTTTCGACGGTTTGGATGTACAGTGTCACGCAGTCAACATCAGTGCTTAATGATACATCCATCTTTGCGCAATCTAACGATGGACGAATGTGTTTCTACTGGCGACCCTTCTCGCNTCGTGTTTTCTAGTTTTGGCAAATCTGTTTTGGTAAGAGTTTCTTGGCATCACCTCTCAGTCCAAATCGAAAATTCCGTTTTTTCACATATCCTTACGTGGCTCGGTCTTGGCCATACAATGCTGAAAATCCGACCTCAATATCTGTTTCCGATCTCAAGTTATTCAACTTACCGTATCCCATCTTCTATTTTGAAAAATGGATAGTAGTACTACCCAATAAACAATTATTTTGCAAGTAGAATGAGATCTTTTTTAATACAAAACAAATCATAATCAACTGACGAAGGCTAAGGATATTCTACAATTTCAGGATGCTTTTTACTTATACTAAGAGGAATGCATCGATCAATAGAATTTCGATCGAGTTCTTCGCAGATTTAATAAGTCTGCATATACTGCAGACATTTCAAGCTTGAAATGCATTTCTAGTTGAAAGTACTCCTATATTTTTTCAGGAACTACTGGCCGTTCACACTATTGTGTTGCTTCCTTTACATCCCCGGCCTCGTCGCAATAGTAGTGGTACTAAGTTTAATTCCAGTTTACTTGTCAACAAATCCTATTTCTGGTACCACTATCAATTCTTGTATGTGTTTATTTGTTTTTCGTTAATTGATTTGATAGATAGCTTGTTTATTTTCAGTCCTATTACCGTACAATGTCACTTATGGTACTAATTTCAAAAGTGATAGTGTGTCTGCGATTCCAAATCTTAACAGCCTGGCCACACAGGTTTGTGTTTCATATTCTCACAAAATATCTTGTTGCTATTAAAGTTTATAGTTGATGAATCAATATTCAAATACTGATATAAGCGTTATAACAACACTATTCATTTCGACAGAATCGAATGCCTCTGGTAAACGACGACGTGAAACTCGGTACGCTAGATTGATCTGAAGACAACAATCTTATTTGCTTTATAGATCCACGAACGAACAATGTGAAGTAAATCCAAACACCACGGGTGATTTGCTGTTTGTTGCATTTATCGTCAAGCCTCGATTTTCGTGCCTTCTTAACGGCTGCCGAAAGAACTTCAACGAAACATTCGAAAAAGTCACTGCGATTATACGTTCACAGGCACTAATACTACTAACTTTGGCTAACGGATCGACAATTATGACAGAGACCGTTTTCTGTTCCACTGGACAGGTTAAACCAGGTACGAAATCACTTTTTCTACACTTACTTTCTACCTTTAATATGATATTGACGTGACTATTTTTTGGTTTCGTGTTTTTGATGGCTCAGATGCATTTCATAAGTAATAGGTTATATAACTGTTAGAGCATTGCATGCTTTTTTCACAAATGTTACAGTATGCTGGAATTTATAGGCTTGTTCTTTGTTTATACTTTTATCACATATCTCATTTTAGTTGAACTAACGACTATAGTCTCTACAACTAAAGCTACAACTACTACTAGTATTACTATGATGACGACAACAACGACAACCACAACGACAGGTATTTTGTTTGATTTTGGTCATATTTGATTAGCAACAATAAACTTTGTTAAAGTAGATTAATTACAACTAGTCAGGGAGATCGGTGTGAAGCTAACACGAAGGAGCTAGCACGAGCAAACGATGTGTTAGCTAAAAAAGTTTCTATCTATATCTTTGTTCGTTTCCTTTAGGTCTATATATAATCCAGATAGAATTTTTCCAAAATTTGTCCGGTGAACAGAAGTGTCACCATTGGATCCAGAATTAAATTCTCAGTCGAATGGTGTAGTTTTCATGGACGGGACATATTTAGTAAAAAAGTTTTTAGCTAACACATCGTTTGTTCGTGCTAGCTCCTTCGTGCTAGCTTCACATTGATGTCAGGGGGGATAATAAATCAGAAATAGATTCATCGCTAATAGGATTACAGTCACATTCAACCATCTAGACAAATATCTGAGATAAGCTTGTATCTGATTTGATTTCACAGTTATATGAAGCTTGATGTAGGTGTCATTGAATTTCTTGCCACCATTTCTTTACCAGCAAGTGTACAGAATGTTTCAAAATGATAAAGTATATTTCTAACTCAAGCCTACAGGATGATGTCATAATACTATTATCCTGAGTATCCTTTTCAAAAGACACTAGTATTTCGTCAAGCGCTGGGGAATTTGAGTAAATTTGATCATTATCCAACGGGTTACGCCATCCAGACAGATAGGTGAATGCGCGGATGTATCATGAGGAAAGGTGAGCAATTTACACGTTTAAAAAAGAGGAGCTTTACGGAACCTGTATCGAGGGAAATATCTTTTGAGGTTTCTTATGAATTAACGGAACCAGAAGAAGTCGATAAAATGTTTACGAAATTTTTTTTGGTTCATCAGATCGGTAAAAAACTCCAAAAGACCTTCCTCTCGATACATGTTCCCTAAAACTTCTATTTTTTTCACAGTGCATGAACTCAATCAATATCGAACGGGTAACGACAGTGATGTCGAGAATAATTAACGTTATGGGAGCGAATTGTGTTTATTAATTAATTCTTTGGCATCTTTTTTAGTTAGAGTAGCACTACTATAAACAAATGATGTTGTATGTAGTTTTGAACATTTTTCGAAAAATGTTTTTTTGACCTTTGACCCTGACACAGACAGACAAACTAATTTTTTTCGTATGACCTTCCTTTCAGTCGAGGGAACTAGACGAAGAAACTTCTATGGTGAAGCATCAATTCGAATTTGCTTATATGTAGAGAATGCCATATATTGGTAAAATAAAAGGCGGGTCTAGACCTGCCGAGTTCGAGTCTCAGAAAAGCTGGATTCACAGCTTCTCACTGTCTGTACCCCATCTTGTTCTCTCTATTTTTGTTCTTTTCTCTTTGCTACGTTTTGTCCTCGATACAAGACCATGTTCTATATTGTATAAGATACAGCTAAAGTGTAGTATAATGTAACAAACATTAACTATTTGAAGAATAGTAAAAACACTATTCCTTAGGTCTGTCCTGGTGACCACAGAAAGCCCTGCAGGAGCAATGAAAAATAATGCTTTTTGTTGTCATAGTTTTTCATTACAACTTCAATGATCCAGGATCTTACGAAGTCAGTGTTTATTAAATCTACTTCGGCAGTATCCAACTCAGTTGTTTATTTTCAGCTATTAGTTCTTAAGATGTAAGGCTGAACGCTCTGATGACTTAACTTAGGATCTTGTTTTCTGAAACGAGACGCCCCAGTAGTAAGTCTGTTCGTAGCTTCATATTGAGTATGGGTTTTCACACGATGCACATAATCAAAACAGTAAAATAAAGATAGCTGTCTGTAGACATTCAAGATGAGACACTTCGAAGAATTCAGTTAAGTAGATTTTCCGGCATAATCTGAACGTCACAAGGATTCTCTTCTCCAAGAAAAGGATGTATGTCTTATACTATGAGCAGTGATTGCCTGTTTTCATAAAATCATATCGATCTTGAAAGTAATTACCGCTATATGAAATAAATGCTCATGGAATCAATGCCTACTTAAAAGACAGAAATCAGCCATCTCACTCTATAAGCATACTCTTATGAGTCAATGCACGAAAGCCAACATATGTCGTGCTCAGATGATATCACAAATTTCACTAAAATTTTCCCAGTATGTAGGGTGAGAGTGAAGACGACGGCGACAACTATTCAGGATTTGAAGGCTCCCGCTATATCTGTATCTAATTGTTATCAATTTCGTGAGTCTTCTCGTTCAATTTGCAGGTTGTCAGGCGATTCAGGCTAGTTGCACAGCACTTTCTGACTGTTGTGGAAGTGCTGCTGGATCGATAACATGCCAATCTAGTCAATGCTGTGCACCACTAACTAAATCTTGTACAACACTTTCTGACTGTTGTGGAAGTGCTGCTGGATCGATAACATGCCAATCTAGTCAATGCTGTGCACCACTAACTAAATCTTGCACAACACCTTCTGACTGTTGTGGAAGTGCTGCTGAATCAACCTGTCAAAGTGGCACTTGTTGCATACAAAACGGTAGTCCATGTACAAGTTCTTCAGAATGTTGTAGCGGAGATTGCGGCCCTGGAAGTTGTGTTTCGTGTTTCCATGGTGATGAATATGTCTTAATGGCCGATGGGAGAGAAAAACAAATAAAGCACGTGCGAATGGGTGATCGAGTGAAGACAATTGATGGTGACAGTCAGTCAAAATTTTATAAATTAGGCGAAGATGAAGTGCTTGTGCGTCTTCACCATGAACCAAATATGGCAGGTATGAATAATTTGCACATTTTTGAATGTAACGATACTGCAAGCAAGTATTCTTTCTAGTTCGTGATATCTAGAGTAGTATGATAAAGACATGAATTTGTGTTCACTTACAGTGCATACCGACATTCTCTAATCACAACACAGAAATCGTACTTCTCTTTCATTTATGTTAATCCTTTCAGATCCAAATTAGTTTTTGATAATCCAAGTTAAAGAATAATACCGCTTTCCTTCAGAAAATTCCTTATAAGGCTTTATCAATTTTAGCATAGAAATTAACAATTTAAATAGGTGTTGCTATTTTCTATACCATAGTACTGAAACGGTTAACATAGATTTCAGACAACTTTCAATTTTGGAGAATATTTGAATAACTCGCTTTCAAATTGTACACTTCCGTCTTTTTTTCTTCAATGTTTTCTTTGATACGCTAGTAGTATGTAATAGGAAGATCTTGACATCGTTATTGTACAATAATTGCCTGGTACTAATGACAAACTATTGTTTTTACGTCACAAGAATGTTGTGTCGACTTTTCTGCTCCTTATAGTGATAGTAGACAGATATTTTATGATGGCGATGTTGTTCAGCTATGTATATATAAGATAGTCTAATACTATAGTACTTGGGACTATCATTATGGTAAAAGACAACATTTTAAGCGTTGATTTGCGATCTGTCGATAGATAATGGGATTTACTGTTTCAATTAGGGGTGGACCATTTCCGTTAATTCGAAATTAACGTAAACAGTAACCCGTTAACCGGTAATTTCCACTTTATTAAGTGATTAACGTATAAGAAAGATCTTATATTGCTTCAGAGGCAATTGTAGATCCATTCTGACTCTGCAAATATAGATTCATGAACGAAAACTCAAAGGCCCATGGTTAATATCCCATAACCGGAGCCAAACGCTGCCGACCTGTAAGAAGATTAACAACCAATACCGATCTCTGGAGGCCAAATACAATCAGAGGTAAAAAAAAAACATCCTTATATAAGACCTTCCCGGTGGATTTCTAGTGAAAATAAGCTTTTGAAAAAAAATCGCGGTCATCGGTGATTGGTTGAAATTGACCAATCAGAATTCGATGTAATGGGCCTTGGAATAAAGAGTTTTTCCACACTGGTTCCGACGATGGTATCAATCTGAGAGCTGAGTATCTTACCAGGGGACATGTAATTAATGCTGCGTCCTATAGATAATAATTTGTCAGAAAAGATCACAGATTATGATTATTTAATCGTTTAGTAGTTAATTAAGTAGAATTAAATTAAATGGTCCATCCCTAGTTTCAATTGATACGAACTTTCTTTTTTCAACTAGGAGAATAAAAAGAATGATAAATTTACACGATATAGTTCTTGTAGTAATGAAGTACTGGCAAAAACCTGCAAATGAAAAAAGAGAAATATAGAATGTTTCACTTGGGAGTTTTGACTAGTATGAACGATAGAAAATACAGTATACAGTCATAGCACTAACTCAAAATCATTCCTCTCAATCAAACATGAATAAGTTACATCACAAGATTTCTGTTTATTGATATACTCATTGTAAAATGTATTCATTATCAGATTTTAGCCATACATGTAAAAGTCGACAAGCTGCTTCGAGTATTAAACTTTCAAACTTCTATATCTTTCAATTCAGAATTCAAGTTAGGCGCAAGGGTGAAAGTGAGCGTGTTGGAGAGTACAGAACAAAGAGTTCCGTCAAGTCAGTCAACGTTGACAGTACCGTAGCTGAGTCTAAATACATAATTTAATGTTTTAGACCGTATCATTTAAGACAGAATTTAGTCTGATAGCTCATACTCTACCCATTTTCAATATGTAGTATTCTGATATCGAAAGTGCCATTCTCACTACAGAACAGTATCTTGAGGATGTTGCAGAGTTGCGACTAAAGTGAGGATGAAGAGAAAGATGTTCCAGTATACACCGCAAAGACAAACTATTGAAAACTCGAATTTTAAATTGACAAGTTCAGAAGTTTAATATTCGAATCGAGTTAACGATTTCTACACTATTCATTTTAGCTAACTTTTTGATAATTATAACCGAGTCTGGACATCGACTAACATTGAGTCCTGATCATTTTGTTCGTATATTCAATGGCAGTAAGAGCAATAATGAACCCTACATCACAGCGGGTCAGCTCACCAATGGTCAGCTTCTTGCAGTAGTTGTGAGCTTTCCAGGTCATCAGAACTATTCGATGATCTACTCGTCCATCGTTTCAATCACGCAAACCAAACTGGTTGGCGTTTACAATGTCTTAACGTACAGTGGTGTCATTATTGTCAGTCGAGTGGTCGCTTCATGTTTTACTGATCGTCGTGGAACACATGAGAATGCGCAGAGACGTTACTTCATTGTTCGTCTCATTAAGCATGTAGCATCAATATTTCACTACAACATTTATACAGATGAGTTTTACGGAGAACATTATGTGGTTACAAGTCGTCTAATTGATTTCATACACATAATTATAACTGCCATTCTTCATTGTACCTCGGTTATTTACAATACCGGTGTTCCATTAATGATCGCCATTGTATTGGTTTGGCTGGCAAATCAAAGAATGTACCAATTTAATTTTGGATTCCTTCGTCGGTGGCGGAAATCCCGTGGTTGATATGGAATATTGTGGCATTCGGAGATGAACTTTCGTCATAAAGACCAACTTTAGATCGATATCATTTGATTGAATACAATGACATTATGCACGCTCGATGACTTTTGCCTTTTCTCGTGATATCTTTCAAGTACTCTATTTTACCCTTAATTAACATTCTTTTTGTGATTTTTCACAGTGAGTGAAAAGAGTGAGCCCATTAATTTTAATCTAAATATTACATTTTTTTTCATCACAACCTCTCGTTTTTCATTTCCTAACTGGATTCCGCCGCATAAGTTATAGTTCCCCTACAAGATATTTAAAAATTATTGAACATGCTTTAGAATTTTGAACGCAATAGAACTTTCTTCAATTAAGTTATGCTTCATTAACGATCTAATGCGTTACCTTATGGGCGCATGATAAACGCACATTATGTACTACATTCATCTGTCTTTCATCGTTTGGTGTTACTAACGAATCATTTCACAGCAATAAAGAAAGAATGCACTGGATGAAAAACAGAAGCATACTAGCAGCAATAACCTCAAAATATGTCATACCGCCAATGAGTAATAAGTAACGCTGCTCGAGCTGACTTACTTTACTTCTGACTTTTTAAAATATATTTCTTAAATACTCGCTTCAGCTTTTCCGGTTGCATGCTTCTAAAAAAATGGCTGCTGTTAGTGTTTTGAGTTTTGTTTACAACCGACATCATATTCGGAAAACATCTGAATTTCTCTATCATTCTACATATTTCTGATTTATTTTATGCCTATATATGAGCGAAATAATCTGGATACAATGAAAGCACCCTCATGTCCAGACATCCACAGGCTTGCTTTTTGTACTGTCAGGAGAGTTAGTTTTCGAAATTTTTAGTCACTCCAAAATTACTTTATAGAAAAAGGATTTGGTTTTAAGAAAAAAGTTTTACGTGGATTATTATCTTTCAAAACAAACATTCGAAAATAGAGCAGCTGTCTAATTCGACTTACAATATAAATGCACAGAATTCTACCTGAATACACAAATATATTTAGATTTAGGTATACTTGTAGATACGATCCCGTCTTACTGACCTAATGCGTTATAGCGGTTTACAGAAAGTGTATGAGTTCTTGATGATTTCAATTGCGAAAAAGTTAGCTGAAGTTCATGCTATACCTAGTTTGCTTGATAGAAATGGAAAAGTTCTAGAATATATGTATTATGAAACTGAACTGTGAAGTTCATTATATGCGTGAGACTCTCAGTCAAGATATATTTTCATCACCTCACCCTCACCCTCAAATAATGGCTCAAGAACTACTTTTTATAGGGGAAATATAAATCATGAAAAACTATAACCAATATGACCTTTCATGGTTTACTTTTCCACTAACTGATGTGAATAAAACAAATTGAGCTGATATTGTCAGAAAATATTTTTCACTGGTCCGTTCTAATGCAAAGCTTCTATCATATATAAGTTTCGTCTATAGTAAGACAAAAGATAACATGTTACTCCGTCTCAAAATAAACACAATTCTTCCACGATGACATAAAATTCAGTACAATTGTAAGCCGTTTGCTATAGTTTTCATTCATCGACTGTACTTCGGATGAAAGATCTGGTAAAATCCTATATTGGATCCGATGGGATCCGAGTACGGGATTGATTGGCCTAGGGATGAAAGGACAACTAAACATTTCAATAATCACTTGTCTGTTTTCTGGTCGTATCATTCAGCAATTAACTCAATTCATTTTCCATTACAATTTATTGGTCACACTCGTTTTGTTTCAGAAAATAGATTAGCTATGTTAGCGAAACGATTTAGACATAAGATTAAGTACGGAATAGTAGTAATATGTGCATTTATCACCATTCTGAACTATCACTTCGCACCCACGGAGAGACTTGTGGGAAAGGCCAACTCAACTGCAGTCATCATGATTCTGTACAATCGGATACCCAAATGTGGCAGTTCGCTCTTAAATGTTCTTTTCGAACAGTTATCAAGCAGAACAGGTGCATTCATACATAAATTTGGACATTCAGAATCTCTTTATCACCGTTTGTCCATTGAAGAACAATATAATTTGACTAGAGACATCCGTCATCATGTATATGTTCACAGTCCTCGTCCGACCGTGTTACTACAACATTTTCACTTCCTTCATGTTGCGTCTACATCAAATGCTACTTTTTATTATATAAACCAGTATCGCGATCCACTAGCACGTACTTTATCTAGTTTCGACTTTCGCCGGTTTGGATGTACAGTGTCACGCAGTCAACGTCAGTGCTTAATGATACATCCATCTTTGCGCAATATGACGATGGACGAATGTGTTTCTACTGGTGATCCTTCTCGTTGTATCACAAACCCTTATGGAGTTCGTTCTCCAATCCCGTACTTTTGTGGCCACTTATCTATATGCGACGATAGCTTAACCAGGCCAACAAGTGATGCTGCTCTCGCTCTTGCGAAGACTAATATCGAACGGTACTTTATTCACGTGGGTCTTCTGGAATACCTTGAAAGTTCGCTAAGACTTCTTGAGCATATCCAACCATCCATATTTACTGGTCTCCTGGATGCCTATGTGAACGGCTCAAATCGCCGCATCGTAAATCGAGTACCCAAGAAATATCGTCATAATATAAACAACAGGACTCGCAATATTCTTTTACAATTACTCAAGCCTGAATATGAGCTGTACAATTTCATTCGAGCACGTTTCATCGATCATTATACTCGTGTTTTTCATCAAGCACCGATTTACCAGGAAAGTTAGTGGACATCTAGAACACAGTCATGTAACTATTTTTTTTCTTTTACAGAAGTTAGCATTTCGAACAAATATAATTTACTCTTCAATTATATTTAACTTCATAAATTTCAAATACAGAATATTTCAATCGAGCTTTGTAGAACGATTTATAAATCAGAAAATAGATTCGATGTTTAGGGTGAGAGTGTGAGTTTGAACATAGGATAAGAAGGACGAAATATTAGAAATCTCTTCATTTGTACATGAGATTATCACTTACAATTCATTCATAGTATCCACAGTGATACCCAGGTTAGTATGGCACGGTCGGTTCCGGCCGGAAGTTCAAACGTAGGTTCCAGTCATTTCCCAGCCGTTTCCTGCAAACTTCGAGCTGGGAACGTATGAAGGTGTATCGGAATTCGATGGTATTTTGGATGTGATAGTTTTATTAGATAATTGATTTCCGATAAGATATTTTTTATGTTTAGATATTAAGTTTTTATATTGAACTTCCAATATAAATTCAATAACACAATTATCTTCAAGACCGCCATTCCATCCTAGTTTAGCCAACGAATTCAAAGTAATATGGAGAAGATTTCGTCGCAATTTAATTTTACATTCATTATATAGATTCACCATTGGTTCACGAAAATACTCCCACAATGCATAAAATAAAACATTATCGTATGCATTGTTATATTTCTTCTTAATTGATGGAATCAGATATTTATTTGATTGATCCAATGCTGCGTCATAACCATACATAGTGAATGAGCTCCAAATATCATAAAATACATTATCTTCAGTAATAACGTCATCGTCAAATACGAAAACAATTTGTAAAACGATTGAAAATGCAGGACATGTTTTCAAAAATTTCATTCCATATTCAGCTGAACGCAGTAACACTGCTTCGTATTGTGCAACGTCTTCCTGCGATTGATGCCAAGTTGTAAAATTTTGAAACCATTCAATCGGAATTTGTTTCCATTTTTCCAGGTAATACCGTTTCAAAATTTCGAGTAGTTCCGAACTTCCGTCAGTCTTCATTTGAATCTCGAAGTCTTTGTGCGAAATATATTTATGATATTCATGCAAACTTTGATGAGCCATCTGTTTTCTCTATTGAACAAATAAAATAACTTATATAATAAAAGAATTTTTTCAACGTTTTAAATACAGAAAAATATGTATGTTGTGTAGTGTTATTCAAGTTGGAAACTAAAGCTACCAATGTACAAAACATCAGTTGATAATGACTGATAAGAACAAAAAATACTCAAAGAAGCGGTAAAGAATGAAATAAATATAAAATAGAGTAGGGAAGCGTGTCTGCATAAAAAATTGGACGAGTCTCAGTGTAGAACGGCCCTAAATAAAACTTTCTTCGCAAGTTATCTGTCTGTGCACAAGCTCTATCGATTATTTCAAACTGCTTTACGAAAGCTTGCCTACAGAGTGATCCACATCTGGAGTAGCTGCCTAATTCGACTTATAATATAAGTGACGAATTCCTAATACACTCCTACACATACTTAGGAATAGATAGCGATACATTTAGCTATGCCCATTCACCCATGCCAGTTTAGGAATAGATAGGAATAGATTTTGTTATACATAGTCCCAGGAATACTCTCAGCCGAGCTATATGTCAGCCTATGTTCATCGGTACCCAGATATATAGTTATACAGAACATATTTGATCTATCAAACTTGATTTTTATATATTTTCGATTTTACAAACAAATCTCTAACACGAGAATAATTCGATGGGGAGGAAACCGATCGTTCAAAAACTACATTATATTTGCCTCTATAACATACCCAGTTTTATCTACATGAAAAATATCTCCAAAGATTCACTTATTTTCATCTATCTCACGAACATCGATATAACAATCTTGAAATACATATCCAATTTGGACCATTGATTGAATCTTACAATTACTAATGATGAATCTACTTGTTGGGAAAAAGTTTAATCTTTTGCTCCAATGGTCTCCTCTTGCTTATATAAGTGAGTTTTACAGATATTTGTTAGTCATATTTTAAAGTAGATACAATCCCTATAGTTCGAATGTTCAGAAATACAGACTATTTCGTTAAACTTCATAAAGTCTATTCATATGAACATTTATTTTCAAATGAGTATCTCTATTTGAATTTGTAGACAAGCAAAAATTAACAAATAGATATAAAAAAGGTATAAGAAATATGATAAATGGTTTTTTTCTACACGGGAATGTGTTTCTTGTTAAACTATCCGATTCTTCCACTGCTTCTGTAATGGCTTGCTGAATTCGACGACGACCTTGCGATGAATGGAAACCGTTATGACGAGCATATGACAGATATCATATAATAGATGCAACGTGACTACAGCAGCCAATAGTTCTAGCACCTGTCGAACAAGTGCAATACCAAGCTCTTATTGAATCACCGACTAAAGAGTATTGGATCCAACTCTTGTATCGAATAGCGTTCGAATACAGACTCTGAATGATGCATCGTCGAATATTTTCATCGTCACCTAAGTGTTCTTCTACATAAGGACGAGCTAACTTAAGTTGATAAGTGCGAAAAAACAAAATACGTAAGTCGTGAAGAGAAAGTTCCGGAAAGTCAAATTCCGCATCTTCAATTTTGCTTGTCCAACGGGAGCGTGCCAGCTTCGATCTGTGCGAGCAGAGTGTTTTGTTGTAAAAGACGATCTCTCATCAATTGAGCAAGTCGCTGATGATAATTCGAGTTAAGATTATCCACAATAGGGCCACGGTTGACGTTCAATGCAGCAGATACTATACGAACAGCAACCTTTGAACGAAAAAAAGTGGATAATGACACTTTCAGAACTGAATTCTATCTTGCGTAATACATAAAGATAAATAATAGGTAATGACGAGTTTTTGAACATATTCTGACGTATAGTCACTCTAAACCTGCATAGCTAAAACACTCATTAATCATGTCAACGTCAGCTCAGCAGTAGTTGCGATATAGTTATGTCCATGTTTGAATTGCTCATGTCTACTGGTAAAAAAGAAATAGTTTTTGATTGACTTACTTCGATCTTTGGGATCGACGAATTCTCAATTTTATCATCTAGAAAATGCCACTTTTTCATTCTTGCGCGGTAAAATTCCACCACCCGTCTTGTTTTTGTGCATGGTCTTGATGTATTGCTTGCGAATATGGAATGTTGTTTTTCTGCTTTTCGAAGAAAATCTGACATTCCTGTCTCATAAGCGAGTTTCTCGAACGTCACGAAAACCTCTGTCCAACATCATTTGACCAGAGCCATCAGACCATGCCACAAGTTCGTTATTTGTTTGCAAAATTCTTTCTGCTATCGACGCATCGTTCATTGTTCCACGAAATGGTCCAATTGTATCAAGAATATAATCAGTTGGTGAGACTAGTGACATGAACTTGATTAAACATCTTTTCTCTTGACCAGAATACATAGATCTGTTAACCGTATTAGCACTACTCTTACCACAGTAAAAGTAGGTGCCATCCTACACGATTATCAAATCGTTTCCGAAAAACTCTTTATACAGAAACTGTAGATTTAGATTTCCGTGTTGGCAGGTTACGTTTGTGGAATGGTACAATTTTTCAGATAGTATCTATGTCGGATGAAATGATGAACTATGTGCGAAATACTAGTTTCATATTCAATTCATCAATCGATTTTCAAATGGTTTCGTTAGCTGCCTAAGGGTTTGTTAGAAAGTGCCCAAATGGTACGTACCTTTGTGTAAGCAGTGTTATGATCTTTTGCTTCGTCACGAGTAATATGACCAATACCCAGATGATTTGGTACAAAATATGTTAGCATGAGTTGCGCAACTGAATCAAACGCTTCTGCAGTTCACCTTGGTCTAGATTTCATATCATCATCAAAATTGGATAACGAGTCGATCTGTCTGAACGATAGATTAGTTTTAACCTTGATCCAAAATATAGCGAAAGCGTTTCTTGAAGTACGATTGTAAGAAGAATGGAGGTACATCGAGATTTGGTCGAATTGCTCGATGGTCCAGCTCGTCCATGCCTCGTCGTCTTCATCAGTTAAAAACCGATTGTCGAAGTCGAGATAAGATGCTAGCTGCGATTCTTGAATGAGGCTTAGAAGATCGTTAATAAGCGCCTGACCTTCGTCAGTAGTTAAAGACGTTGATATTTTCTTCCTCCCCCCATCGAATTATCATCGTGTTAAAGATTTGTTTGTAAAATCGAAAATATATAAAGTCAAGTATGATAGATCAAATATGTTCTCCATGATTATATATCTGGGTCAATTGCATACACTGTGACAGGTGTTAATTGTACACATCGCGTATGCTCCATCTGGGTACATTTGGTTGTTGAATATGTGGCTAATTAAACAAATCTCAGCACAGTTACGTCCAACATATCACATGGTTGCGAGGTCAAATATACACATAGGGTTCTTTCCTCCACGAATGAATTTCTCGAAAACAAAAATATGTAGAAATATTCAGAAGCATGTGTCTCATGTTTCCACTCTATTTCAAATTGAATTTAAAGGGTGGCAGATTTCATCACAAATCCGGCGGGGTCCTTTCCAGAAAGATAAAAATACAAATTTTTATTTGGCCAGAATTTTCCGATAAATACGTATTTTATATTTATTTGTCAGATTTTGAACTATCTGATAAGATAAAATTGAAAGAATCTAGAGTTTCTTTTAATTGCCAAATGTTTATTAAACTAACTAAAGTATGGTAAAATATTGATATATTAAAATAACAATCAACAGATGCTGTTGAATCCAAGTTTTTATTTAGAATTTATCTTTAATTTGTTGAATAAGTGAATTAATATTATCTTTATTCAATCCTAAATTGATCATTTGATTTCGTGCTTTTTCTGTTAAAAGAATCCAAAGATTAAGTTGATCAGCATATTTTGATTCAAGTAAAGCAATGACAAGACTTGTTGTTATAATATCTTTATTATGGGTAATTGTTGATTGAAATTCGATCCACGATTTTCCTTTTGTTAATTGTTTTATATCATCGTCATTTAATATCCACATTCCATTGTATGATTGATGTTCAATTAACCATTGAACAGAATTTCTAGTCAAAGATGAATTCTTAGTTGTAGATGTGACATTCTGTTCGAAAATTTTCCTATAAAATTTTGGTATAATATTGAAATTTTGTTCATATATTTGTTGGACTTACCTGGCTCTTTTAACAGCTGATTTGCTCAGCACCACATGTTGCTCTGCTGTGAAGCTTTGCACAGGATAAGTTCCTATGCGCATGATATTTTTTAGGAATCCACCTTGTTGAACAGATTGTGCAGATGAATAATCCAACAAATGTTCATCACCTCTTGATATTTGAATAGGTACATATCGAGTATTAGAAACCTGATTATTTTGTATCAGTTTGTTTTCTTCAATACCAACAAATGCTGTGAATGGTGATAAAATCTGATGCCTTAATGACAGTTTAATGATTTGCTGTTCAACTTTTTTTCTATTACTGGATTGATAAAAAAATTAAGTTATGTTTTACCCTTATTTAAAGTAACTTACTGATGATTTTGATTAGCATGCCCATATAATAATTCTTTAATCAAAGATTTTGCAGCTAATCGATGTATGGTATTCATTTCATATATCATGTCACTTATTGTTACATCTATTTTTTCACCTTGATTATCATTGATTATAAGGTCTACTTGCGTCTCTTTACGAATACGATCACTGTTTGCAAGTAAAGTGTAAATAAGAACACGATCATTTGCATATACCGGTGGAATAATTTGTGGTGATTGAATAGGTGTTGTTGATAATCCATGCCATTGAAAGTGAACCTTAGAAAATGAATTTGAAAGTGCGTGACGAAGTTGAATTGCTACGTATTGATCTACGGCAGAGTTTGGAGGAACAAATACATAGGTGCCTTTTGTCGCTTGAGCAAGGGCTTTAACTAATGCACGAGAAGGTGAATAGCCGAGACCGAACGAAAAAATGCGCGTTGTTGAAGACATCGAAGCACACAGAGCAATGATCTATTTAAATGGGAACGAATAGAATTGATAAGATTTGAAAAGTTTAAGTAAATTGTTTTACTTCATTTGTGTTTGAAACTTCACCATCAGTTAGCAGAAATATATTTCGGAATCGGTCATTATCTGGTGGATGATTTTTTAAGTATTTTAATGGTTCCAATAATTCAGTTCCACCTAAATCTGCTGCCATCGATTGTATTAGCTTTTCTGCTTGTTCTACTGTTGTTTGATTATAAACACTAGATATTGTTTTATTTGGAAAAAGCGGATGATAAGTCGATCCATAGCGAATTATATTGAAATAAGAATCGACAGGAAGACCACGAAGAAAGAGAAGCATCGCTTGTCGAGCGAGATCAATCTTTTGTTCATCATTCATCGACCCCGAACAATCAACTAGAATAAAGAATAAAAACTCATAATTCATCTAAACGAGACAATTCGTCATACCAATAAAGATAAATTCATTCAGTGTCTTTATCTCTTGCTTTTTATCGTGAGTTTTATTCGAAATATATTCAGAATTCGGTGTTAATGCTGTAAGAATAGCATATTGATGTGATTTTTGTCCACATTGTTCAACAGCGAAAAGAACTGCAGGTCGATTTGATGGTAAATCAATATCTAAAATAATATCTCGATCGAGTGCAATACCTTCGGACGTAACTTCAATCATTCGATTTGATACACTAACATTGACAGGATGTGAGAGATTCGCTATATATTGAATTTTATCTATAAAAAAACGAACACTTTATTTTCGAAGAATACACTTTCGCTCATCTTACTTTGTTCACTACGATCGATTGTCACTCGAAAGAACATAGAATACGGTGTATTTTGAACATAACGTGCTCTTTGACCATTCGGAGACTGTAGACTACCTAATTTTGGATTATATCGCGGAGAAATTGTTGTAGGAATAACAAAACGAATGAATTTCCCATCGATTAAGTCTAATTCAGTTACATAACGAATTTTAACGATACATTCTTTGCCAGGTGGAACATGGCCAACGTTTATCTAAACGTCAGATAGTTTTGCGTTATATGAAAATAGAAATGATTTACTTGAAACGTATCATAAGTTTCGTGACTTTGTTCAAGTAATACAGCGGTTTTTCCGTCTCTCATTGCTTGATTGTATTCTTGACGAGCCATTTCTTTTTCTTTCAGAACAGCTCGGATTGTTCGATCATCAATTTGTGCCGTGAATTCATAAATTGCTGCACTTTCCTAGATACGCAAAAAATTATCGCTTTGTCGAAAATACATACAGTTGTATACTTCGATAGGAAACACATAAACTGCTTCAATAGAATTGCTTTCTTCATTGAAATAAATTTGTGTTAAAGTAACATCAGCAGCAAACCAATGAATATTAGCTTCAGCAGAAATATTTTTCAATGGAACATAACCTTCACCATTTTGTTTTCGAAGTACAATAGAACGAGCATTGGGATTATCTTCACGCGTTGATCGAGAAATCGATGAAACAACCGAACGAAGAACAGATTGTTGAATTCTATTTAGTTTTTTAATAAAGAATTTTTCAAATGAAAACAATATCACTATATTACCTTTTATCAATTTGTCCATTATAACAAATTTCTCCAAGTAAACGATCATAAATCAAGCCTTTGCTACCACAATAACATAAATGTTTCCCATTTTCTGGTTTTAAACATCGATCAGAATTTATTCTTTCAGTCGTTGTTTTTTCCGGTAACCACTCCGTATATATATCCAAAATATCTTCATCGTTCTGGTGAAAGAATATGATGTATAAGGATAATATAACAATGAATAAAACTATCCATTTCCGTCTATATAATGCTATCATCGCCAATTTAGTCAATGTATGAGTGTTGAAACTATTGCTCTCGTCGTTTATTTATATGTTTAAAAAAAGAACACAATATGCATGTCTACAGGTAGGAAAAAAAATCATATCGAAAGTACATAGTCCATCATATCAATAAACATACCTAGTGTACAAAAATCATGCTTTGTAAAATACCATACTTAATATGAAAAATCATCCATTGTTAAAATTCTATAGTTTTATTAAGAAATATTATAATGATCAGAAACGAAAAGATTGCTTCAAATATCATATGATAAACTAGTTCGACGATATAATTGATTCACTTTTAGTATTTCTTTCACATAAATGCACTACTCAATGATTTGCATGATCAACGATATTACTTATTATTAAATTTATTAAGATCTATTGCTTACAACTCATTCGACTGAGCTAATTTATCTCTTGTTTCAGTTCTTATAATTTACTTTAAAAAATATAAATTATTAACGAAGCACTCGGAACTTTCAATAAACACGTGGACGTTATATGACTTCGCCCACGATGAAAAGAGAAAATATTTTTACCTTAGATTGTACTGCAATTGACGATAGGATTGTGTAAAAATCAACATGTTTATATTTTTTTCCAATTTTCTTTTGATTGAGAAAGAGAAAAGAAAAGATAAGAAAATAGTGACATATCAGTCATTCCTTCGAACATGTAAAAAATCTGTTTTTAATTTTAAAAAAGTCATGTTTACTTTTTTGCATTAATCAAAAACGTAAAATCAATTTCTTTTTATTGCCATATATACAGGGTATACCAAAATTATAAGCTCCCCTTACACAGGCATTGAAAAATCTTTATTTTGCCTCCGAAATAGGAGACGATGATCAACTAATGGTATGATGGTGTATGACTACATAAGTACTATCTATCAAGGTAAGTTTCGATTTGCGTTTCCCTAACAGTTAGAGAAAAAAATACAAATTCTCGAAAACTTGCTGTACCATAATTATAAGCCCCCTATACNTGGGTCTTCTGGAATACCTTGAAAGTTCGCTAAGACTTCTTGAACATATCCAACCATCAATATTTACTGGTCTCCTGGATGCCTATGTGAACGGCTCAAATCGCCGCATCGTAAATCGAGTACCCAAGAAATATCGTCATAATATAAACAACAGGACTCGCAATATTCTTTTAAAATTACTCAAGCCTGAATATGAGTTGTACAATTTTATTCGAGCACGTTTCATCGATCATTATACTCGTGTTTTTCATCAAGCACCGATTTACCAGGAAAGTTAGTGCACATCTAGAACACAGTCATGTAACTATTTTTTTCTTTTACAGAAGTTAGCATTTCGAACAGATATCGTTTACTCTTCAATTATATTTAACTTCATCTTGAGGGTGAGGGCGAGGGTGTGAGTTTGAACATAAGATAAGAAGGAAGAAATATTAGAAACCTTTTCATTTGTCCACGAGATTATCACTTACAATTCATTCATAGTATCCACAGTGATATGCTTAGATAAATACGAAAAACGTATCCAAAAAGTTCATGAAATCAAAGCAGGACTTGGTCCCAAATCTTCCGATAACCGGTCGCCTATTTTACCAATTAAACTATTTGATTTTCTCTTCTGTTAATTAATAACAACATATCCAAACATAGAATAGACTGTGAGAGATAATTCAGGGCATTAGTGATCAAATGATTTCTTAATATAGGTCCCTAGTGTTGCAGGAGGACATTAGGAACCTAGTCAAGTAATGGAAGAAATATCGGATGTAGCAAAACAGAACTCTAGGGTGAGATGTATGACTAGCATAATCGATTTCGAACCTGTTAGAGTTCATTCTCAAATGGTATAAACTTAAATAAGATCGAAAAATATTATTTTAAAGACAAAATGATGTCGATTAATCAAATCTAAGCTAAATACCCTGTTATAAAGCAGAACCAGTCTTTCAGATATCTCAGAGATACCCAGAATAACTAATTCTACTCTATAATGCTACTTTATCTCTAGTGAGTGAGATATATCACTACAATGGGTGTGAAGTTAGAGAACTAACGGGTGTCCAAGGAATAATGAGCCTCTCAGTATTTTACCGACATCTTTGTCAAAATTCATTCATTCGGGACTATTTTTTCCACAAGATTCGTCTTTTCATCCTCTACAAGAATCTATATTTCAAATTTCATTCGAACGCATCTTTTCCTCAGAGTAAAATGAAAAGTAAAGATCTCCAACAAGTGGTTTTTCGTAAATATGAAGATGGTGATAGTCCTACCAAAATCTTTCGTGATTTAAATGGTTCGTTAGGATTAGCCATCATAAAAAGATGGCGTAAGATGATCCGTGAAACCGGTTCTATCCAGCTATTGAAACCACCTGGCGGTCCACGTTTTGCTCGAACTAGTAAAAAGATTTAAAAAATCAAGCACAAACTCGATCAGAACAAAGTGGTGTCGGTTCGAAGTTTGACTAAGGATTATCCCATATCAAAATCAAGTGTACATCGAATATTAAGGGAAGACCTGAAACTTCATGCCTACAAGATGACTGTCGAACCAAAAATTACGGAAGAACCCAAAACCAAACGAAAAAAATTCGTTAATTGGGTCGGTAATAACTTTCGAAAGGAGGACACGATGCGTATCTTGTTTTCGGATGAAAAAATGTTTGATCTCGACGCAATATATAATTCCCAAAATCAACGTATCTGGGTTGCTAGTCGAGATGAAGCAGATGAAAAGGGTGGTATCAAAATGAAACAGAAATTTTCGCAAAAGTTTATGGTCTGGCTCGGCGTTTGCTCCGAAGGAATGATACCATTAGTTATTTTTGACCAAGGGACAATGGATCACGCTAGATATATCCAAAAAGTTCTTCCTATTGCATTTAAATACGGAAATAAAACCTTTGGAGAGTACTGGACATTTCAACAGGATGGTGCGAAACCTCATATCCATCAGCTAACGCAAAAATGGTGTCAGGATAAGTTTCCATCATTCATAGATAAAGATCATTGGCCACCGAATAGTCCAGACCTAAATCCATTGGACTATTGCATCTGGGATGAGTTTGCACAGTATCTGAGCTGGGAGAAAGTGATATCAAAACCCACATTAATTGATGAATTAAAACGTGCTGTTTAAAAAAATCGACATGATGTTGTCTTGCAAAGTTGCTCATCTTGGACTATTCGTTTGCAGCGTGTTTTAAAAAATGCTGGACGTTATTTAAAAAAATTAAAATCTGTCATTCTGTCAAGCTTGAAAATCTCTATCTTTTGAAAAAAAAATCCTTAAACGAATTAGATTTGATAATTATATCAGCAAAATACTGAGAGGCTCATTATTCCTGGGACACCCGTTAGTTGATTTTGATTTAATCTCGTCATTTTTGCAAGCGGTTGATTGATGTGAATCATTATCGTTCTTTCTGTTATGTTCGCCAGTTGTAGAATCATATCATGTTGTGGTGTGATGATTCCGTTTGCCACACGTGGAGTTTCTTTGACTGATGTTATCTCATATTCTTCTTCATCATTTATCTCTTTTGAACTTTTCAACATTCTGTTTGGTTTAACTCGAATATGATATGCATGAAAAGGTGGCAGCTTGATTCGTTCAATTGATGGAAGAGTATATTCTTCATCATTGTGTATATTTTCTTCTCTTGTTCGTTTCGGTGGCTTATTTTGGTTGTATTTTTTAAAGTATGCATATTGTCGACCACCGTCGATTTGAAGATTGTGTTTTCGAATGAGATCATTACCTATTATACAGAATCGCCAGAGTTGTGGAACGACATGTACAGTATGTATTCGGATTGAGTTTAATATAGTGATTGGGAGTGTTAATGAGCATTTTACTTGTAAGTGTGATCTGTCTGCTGGTTGGAGAAAAAGATGAGGAGGAGGCGGACGAGCTCGTCGCTGATAATATGTTGATAATTTTTCAAAGAATTTGGAATTGATGAGTGTTAGTGATGCGCCTGAATCAATGAGTATTTGCGTGTGTCGTCCTCCAATTATTCCTGGTAATATTAATGGATTTGTGTTTGATAGGTTGATAGAATGAATTTCAGCAGACAGATAAATGGGATCCATTATATTGGAGCGTTGCGGTCCCGTCCTCCTTGCGCTCCATAGTCGTTTTTTGAGTAGTGTGCAGATTGTTGATATTGACAATTATTGAATTGACCTGGACAATTTCTTCTTAAGTGACCTTTCATTCCACATGCCTAACACTTAATTTCGTTTCTTGATTGTATCCATCGATAATTGCTCATCGGGTGTGACGAGAAATGTTTGTATTGGCTTGATTGTTGATTATTTTGATTGTATGTTATTCCTTCATTTTGTTCTCTATATTTAGTAGGCTGTTTTTACGATTGATATATCGACATTGCTTGTATTTCACGTGGATCATTGTAGTTGTAATTTTCCGTAGTTATCACGTCTTCAGTTAGCTCTTTCTTATTTGTGTTACGATGTTATTTCGATCGTTGATAAAGAATTTTTTCTACTTTTTGTGCTTCCATGATAATTTCATCCAATGATTCACATCGAGATACGCCAATCATTGACAATAAGCTATTTTTCATTTTGCACATTAAGTGACGTACGAGATCGTCCTCGTTTTGATTTGGTTTTTGCTCTTGCCATAAAGTTTGAAGTCGTACGAGAAATTCGTTAATAGTTTCATTTTCTTCTTGTCGGCATTCTTTCCATAATTGTTCTTGACGCGCGCGTCGTACCGAAGAGTTGAATTGATTAAGAAAAATATTAGTGAATTCTATCCATGTTTGTGGCCGACTGTGAGATATTCGTAGTTGACAGTATCATTCAAGAGAAGCGCCTCGGAGAAATTGTGAAATACCACTAAGTAAGGATTGATTATCCCAGTGGTTGATTGTTTCTGTATATTCTTGAACTCTGATGAGAGATTGACGTGGATTTTTTGTAGAGTTTCCACTAAATGTTGGTATAGCTGATGTTCGTGGAATGACGATTGTGTGGGTTGTTGGCGGAATGCGTGTGATTGATGATGCTGATTGTACATATTTATATTATTTAAATTTGTTGGATTTGTGATGTGTTGTTGTTTGCTTTGGTTATTGTTAATTGATTGGTTATTTTCACCAAGTGGTGTGGTTTCTCTGCTCTCTCTTTCTTGCTCTTCTTCTTCTCTATCTTGAAATTTTGTTATGAACTGCGATATTTTTTGTAATCCTAATTTTAGATCCCGTACATACTTTGTGATGCTTTCCCAATGTTGTTTGCTTTCTTCTAATCGAGATGTTTCCATTTCTTCGCTTCTATTTGCATATATTTCTTCTAATTTCTTTTCAATATCTGCTAATCGTGTGTTGTTGGTGCTGTTTGCGTCGGATAGTTTTTGGACAACTTATATCACAGTAGCTTTTTCAATATGTCCGTTTGTTATTTCCATTTTATTTACCTTTCTTAATTTTCTGTTATCTATTGTTTGTTTCAGGGCGCAAGGCTCAGATTGTCAGGGTCGCCATGTAACGACAAGCTTTATTTCAACAAGACCTTTCCTGTTATATTGGTTTCCTATGTTCTCTTTTTTTTGAGTGCATCGGTCAAGCGAGAACAGAGGGAGAAACACGAAGAAGAGAAAACAATCATTAGATAAACTGTTGAAGGTGAACGTGCTGTGAGACGAGGTGAATAGATATAATAAACAGGAAGAAGAAGATAATAATATATACATGAGTCATGTATTTGTGCTTGAAAGGATTAATTGATGAATATATAAATGTTGTCACAGGGCGTTTGATGACTTTCGAGTATATGAGGATAAATTAGGTGTAGATTTTTTGAACTGGTGTTCAGGCGTTGCTGATGACTAAATGGTACACTGTTAGCGTTTGTGATGAATCACACAACGCTAGACAAGAGATTAAGATGATCCTTCTAGTTTAACTGGCTTAGAACATCTGCCCGGATAGCAGAAGGTGTAGATTCGAGCCCCACAAAGGTCACTTTTTCTCGGTTCTTCTCTCCTTCGCTGATGTCCCTTTTGTTGAGCTAACATAAGTTCTCGCAGTATATTGTTTGATACGACTGATGTATGTGGATCAGAATAACAATCTGATTTTTCGCACTATCCTGATAGTTTTACGTCATGTGATGACGATATTCGACAATAGAAGTGGTGTCAAAATGGAAAGTTGCAGGCAGTTGTTCAACTATTCGTTCAGTTGCTCCTCTCACGCTCGAGTTGCATAAAAAGAATCTTCATTTTTCACGACGTCATGAATCAAATTGTTGAATGTGCAATTAAACATTTAGTACATTAAGATTATTGTAATTTTTACCAACCACAGAAGATCATTTTACAAATAATTATGAAAATGATGAACGACGTAAATATATCTGGAAATTATCGAATATCACTAATTAAGAAAGTCATACATGACCTCTTTTCTTACATTCTTTATCTATAATAGTGAACACAGAGGTATTGAAATTTATTTAAGAAAATAAAGTAAGATCCATCCTTCTTCACTATTAAAATTACTTTATTCTAAGAAAATGTATAATAATGAATGAATTGAATGAGTTTATTCCTGTTTGCCTTCTCTTTTCATATATGATTACTTGTTGTTGAAAGCTGTGGTAAAGTTGGAAGCAAAATAGTCGATTATTTTGAATTTTTTAATCTTTCTATTGAAAACTATATAGTATTTATGAGGACTACAAATCAAGAATAATCATGATATTTTCTCTCAATCACCCGTCTTATTTGTTTTTGTTTCAACGACCTATTTATCAAATCTATTTGAACTCATCACTACGCACATCGGTTTGATATGCTCGTTTCATTTGTTTTCTATATAATAAAATCAGTAAGTATTAAAAGATTTTGATTTAGATCAAAATCATCAGTACAAACACGTACTGGACAGAATGATGGTGAGTGTAATTCGAAAACTGGTAAATCACCACAATGTGTAGTACGAATATGTGTTGACATTCGACATGATAAACGTCTTTCATCTCTATAACACAAAAGCACCAAGTGTTATTGTCCAAGATTTTCTGATGCAAGCACCTAATAACCAACCAGATTTTTGATTACCACAAGCAACGTCCGGTGCTTGTCGGACAGTTGCAGTACTAGCTCGATCAATAAATCGTGTTCAAACTAAGAAATTATGATTACTGAGCGAACACCCAACTGAGCCTGCACGACGTGTCGAGTCATCACTTACATTATACTTTTTTTTACATCCAATCAGAGTATTTAAACAAAATTGTAGAAGATATATCGAATGATCAATAATATCATTTTACTCTGCTTGTATTTGGATAAGCAGAGTGAAATGAGAATTTCATTAAATGCACCTTTAACATTCCATGAAGTTGATAAAAATTTCTTCATTTGTTTTTCCCTCGACTGTAAGAAGGGTCATGTCGAAAAAAATGTGGTCAAAAAACTGAAATTCGTTTGTTTGTTTGTTTGTGTGTCTGTTGCAGGTCGCAGGTCAAAGGTCAAAAAAACATTTTCTCCAAAAATGTTCAAAACTTCATAAAACATGGTTTCGAAGGGTGTTTTGACACTGAAAGTTGGTTGAGAGGATGAGGACATGTGGGATAGGGTCGATGTTAAACGTACGTTGAGTCCTGAGGTCAACGGCCCATCAGAGAATTTCATTATGAGTGGAACAAAGATTAGGTAAAAGTTTTTCATAACCGCAAATGTGCAAGGAAATGTATCATACATCGAAACTGAAAGATTCGTTCTGAGAATGTAATGTAACTTGTATTTGTGATAGTAGGAGAATTTCCTTCGAAACACAAGTCCAAAATACAATTCTGATTGTTTTGCTTCTGTTGGTGTGACTATAGAAAACAGACAGCGAAGAATCTTGTATNCGATAATGTTCTGATGAATTATTCTATCAAATGCATGTATATCAGAAATTATAATTCATTTCGACACAAAAGTTAACTTCAGAAGGTGAAAGCTCATCAGGCTATTGATTAATATATATGAATCAGAACGCCGTATTCCAAAAAAAGGTCGTTCTTTTTATTAACAATAATCCGCTTGCTTGATTAGAAGATAAACTGATTTATATATCTAACAATCTCATTCCTTCGAATATATAAAGAAACATTTGTTTAAGCTTTTCTCATTCTAGTAAAATAAAAGAAATGTCAGGTATTAAAACAAGCAAATCTCAAAAGAATGAACCCATGGTAATTCATCGCGGTTTCAATTATAGATTAGAAAAAAACAACAACAGAATAATGCGTCGGAAGCTATATCATTAGTATAAATATGAGATCATATGGGAGTATGTTTTAAATTGTTAATCAAGGGTAGCTATGTTTCCGACTACGTATACTTATGTATGACTTTGCTCATGCAACATTTTGTCTATGCGAGATTTTGTCCGTGGCACTTTGTCTGGCGACATCCTGTCCTAGCGCCTTCAAATTGTCAGTGTGCTTCGTGAAATACATCTAATGAAAGAAAATGCGACCTTTGTATTAAAAATTCCGAGCTTTCGAACAGTTTTACATCCACTTTTGGTGTGTTTTCATGTAAAAAAAGGGATAGGGAAAAATCCAGAACTTCTAAAAAATACTTTTATCAAGATGCTTAGAGTATCGACGTGACTTAGAATATGAAGAGGTAAAATGAGAGTCTGGGTTAACATATTTGTAAATGTTGTGCCGTCATTTTCACTAACTCACTACAAAGAGATTTTGCTTTCTTACAAAAAACATATTTCTTTCGGATTTTATTGAAATCACTTTTTCTAGAATGGATTCAAACTACAAATATGTATGTCGCACGATCTACTCATACAGCATCAATGTTAGCAAATGGAACAGTTTTAGTTACTGGGGGATACGATAGTAGTATTGTCCTCACCAGTGCTGAATTATATGATCCATCAACAGGAAACTGGACAACAACAGGAAATATGAATTTTTCGCGGCAATATCATACAGCATCGATATTAGCAAATGGAAAAGTATTAGTTACTGGAGGATACAATGGCAATGTTTTTCTCAGTGCTGAATTATATGATCCATCAACAGGTAGCTGGAAAACAACAGGAAATATGAATAGTGCACGATGTTATCACACAGCAACAGTTTTATCAAATGGAACAGTTTTGGTTACTGGAGGATACAACGGTAATGTTTTTCTCAACAGTGCTGAATTCTATGATCCATCAACAGGAAACTGGACAACAACAGGAAATATGAACACTGGACGATCTTATCACGCAGCAACAATTTTATCAAATGGAACAGTTTTGGTTACTGGAGGAAGTATTGGTAGTACCGCCGTCAGCAGTGCTGAGTTATATGATCCATCAACACGTAGCTGGAAAACAACAGGAAATATGAATTTTGCGCGGCAATATCATACAGCAACAATGTTAGCAAATGGAAAGGTTTTGGTTAGTGGAGGAAACAATGGTAATGTTTATCTCAACAGTGCTGAATTATATGATCCATCAACAGGTAGCTGGACAACGACAGGAAATATGAATAGTGCACGATCTCGTTATACAGCAACAGTTTTATCAAATGGAAAGGTTTTGGTTAGTGGAGGAAACAATGGTAATGTTTATCTCAACAGTGCTGAATTCTATGATCCATCAACAGGAAACTGGACAGCAACAGCAAATATGAATAGTACACGATCTGATCACGGAGCAACAGTTTTACTAAGTGGATATGTTTTAATTACTGGTGGATGGGTCGGTACTGCTACTGCCAGTTGTGAAATATATGGATAATTTGACAAGAAAAAAAGAGCAATTTTGAAGATAGAAAATCGATGGAAAAAACAATAAGAAGAAGATTTTTTCAATAAAGTGGAAATGGAACTGTTCATTTTAACTTAAATTTTTTTTCTTTAATTTAATTTAAATATAAAAATGTTGAAGAATATTTTAATAAATATAATTTTCTTCTATTTTAAATCATTCGTTTCATTATAGCAAAAAGCAAGTAACGTTTACGAATAAGAAAACAGATTGATAAGTGGAAGTTCAGTTTTCGTTTTTTCATATTCAGATATAAATAGAACATAAAAGATTGAAAATATTTCCAAAAAATGTTCTAACAATTTCTGTGAAGCTAGTATGACAATCAATTACAATCGTTCCATAATTTGCCAACTAGTATCTACCTAGCAACTGACAAGTAACGCAACGTGAGCGTTGCTAAACCCTCTACTGAAAGGAAAACTTCCATTTCATGAGTATCAATCATTTTTTTCTAATAGATAGTTTTATAGGCTATACTCTAGTGAAAAAATAACTCTTAAGTATGTACCGAATTATACGACATTTTCCTGAGGGTGAGTAAGCAGCTACCATAACTAGTTTCAAACGGGCTAAAGTTTTCATCGGATGGCTTAACAAATTCTAAATGATTCAATGAAGAATCAAACGAATTAATTGAAATCACATATAAATTAATGGAAATCTATATGGATCAATACAATTCCTATAGTACCAAAGTCGATAATGGATCCTGAAGCTGGGGATATACGTATGCGACGATCGCATCCGATGATCAATAATTATAATGAATATTTCATATCAGCATGTCGTTCTAACATGGACATCAAGTTTATCTGGACAGGCAGCGATGCCAAAGCGCTTGTCTATTATATTACAGATTATGTGACAAAATCCCGTCTTTCTTTTCACGACACATTTTCTCTTATTCAAAAAAAAACTGTTGCATCATTAGGAGACATATCAAATCAAGTGGATAATACAGACAATGCTATCGAAAGATCACGTAAATTCGTTTTACGTTGCTATAATACACTTGCATCTCAACAAGAGTTATCTGGAGCGCAAGTTGCTTCGTATCTTATGAATTGGGACGATCATTATACGACACACAAATTCCAAGGATTTTATTTGATTCAAACTGAACGATACTTACAGACAGAATTGAATGAATTACGTATCAAACGAAATTTAGAAACAAATGCACATGGTAGTATGACGATTTGTTGCAATTCATCTCTCCTATAGTTACATTTTTTTTCATATGAAAATTCTTATTCTATCTTCAAACGCGAAAAGAGAGATGGAGAAGAGAAGAAAAAAAAATCAATCAAGATATAATGCGCATGCTGTGATGAGCGGGAGAATGGAAGAAAGAGAAGAAACATTTGTTATATAAACAATTAATGAGAGTGAGAGGAAGGAAAAGAATAACATACGGTCATCACATAAGAAGACATAATGAGATATACTTAACATGGTATCCAGCTGTGCTAAAGCATTGTTGCTACATCAAATATATCACGTAGATAAGTGACACGGAATGAACGGAGCTATTCCAATATAATTCTTCTCTTATTGATGGGAACGTGAAGGAATATGATCATGA